GAACCATCGCAGTAATTCTGATCGATATCGGGACTGTTATTAACCATCCGTGCACCAGCGACACTGGTCCCGATATGTTATCATTAGAATTATGTCAACGTTCCAATTTTGTAATTTTTTGTAATCTTAATCAAGGACAATCCTTGACAGTTTGGGCATCTGGTTCTCATTTAGCTGACTGTGCGTAACAGCAACGATGTTTTGATTTGTTTCCTTGTATATGCCTTCAATTTCTTCCAATGTTATGGTCGTTTTATCTTCGAAACGAGACTGGTATTGTTCTCGGGGGTTGTAATTTGAATTGGTACTGCTTGTGTCCCTTTAAAGTAAAATAAAAGGATTTTAACAATCAGCAATTCCATTTAACTACGTAAATTTTTGAGTCATTTTACTGTAAAATAATTAGAATTAAAATTGGGAATTTATTTTTTGTTTGAAATAAAATATTTTAAATTTAATTTAATTGTAATATAAAGACAGAACTAAAATATCTTAGGCAGGGACTATTGTATTCAAACTTTTATGTAAAACGAACTTGGCGGAGTATTGAGAACCAACGTGGTGTTTACTTTTGACATATATACTGATAGTACTGCTGGCTATAAAATCTCGTACACATTAGGAAACTTTTTCGCAAAAATTAACACAGATCGTGGGTAAAAAACAAAGACAAACTATGTAAGAATAATAAATTACCTGTAGATATTACGTCTGACGTAGTCAATTCTCAATTATGGGTAAGGAAAAAAAAGTCCCTACAAAAACTACCCCGTCTTTTCACAACATTCACGGTTCGGTTACAAAACTATAACTGAACTACTACCTATTATTTTTTAAAAGCAATGCCACAAAATAAAAATACTCACATGATATCACGACACCAATAATGGACAAAATCTCTAGGGCGTTATAGAACGACATGATGATGATTTTCCTCGAGTATTCTTGAAAATGTTATGTCGGTTGTTTATACCCTTTGCCTTTTATATACGTGTTTTAAACAGCAATAGAACTTTACGATCAAAAAAATTGGCGTGAATTAGCGATCATACAGTAAGACATAAAACTAATTGATGTTACTCATCATTTATTTCCTGAAAAAAACTCGTAAAAACTTCTTAAATAATCCCAAGGGTAAATTAATGTTTTGTCATCAAATTAACAAGCTCCTCCTCTCTATTATAGTGTTATGATACAATCTAATAATACAATCAAGGAATAGAGGATAATTAAAACGGTAAAACATACATTATTTTGAACTGAATTTATTAATATATTACAATAACAAGTTTAAGCCTACAAGTGATAAATAACATGATACAGTGATACATGATACTTTGGAAAGTTTACAATTAAAAAAGGTCCATCATTTTTTGATCATTTTTCTGTTCCGCCAATTCATATGGCGTTAATCCATTTTCATTTTTTATGTCTGTCTCGAAAGATATAGAGAGCACCCATTGCAACAACTGGTAGTCCTGGTATTCGATCGCCGTGTGTAAAACTGTGTTTCCTGTTCCATCTTCTTGGGCGTTCAGATCTGAGCCCATGTCGAACACCTGAGCTATCATTCTTTCAGCTTTATCGCCTCGTAGACTCTTTGCCCGCTGTCATTCTTGAGCTTCAAAATATGGGCCAGTGCATTGTCCTTGGTACCGCTCCATATACAGTCCATAATATTGTTACAGTTCGACGCGGCGATAAGATGTAATACTGTGTTATTATTTTGAGACTTATCTTGGCCCAAAATGTTGCTCAACATATCCGAGCTCATTTTACAGAAAGTACAATGTTACCCTCAGTAGTTCCGTGGACGATATGATAGTAGATCCTACTGGAAAACGCTTATATAGATTAAAAAAGCGAATAAATATATTCATTTATAAGGAACTAGTGTTGTCGGTTTTCCCGCTCATTATCAAATTGGGAATTTATCATTTTATATTTAGTCTGTTGTCCGTTCTAATTAGCCCGTATTATCTATCTATACTATAATAAAAACGTAAGCGATCGATGTCTGTACATTGAAGATATATGAAAAAAACTGTTATGAGGGATATTTATAAGAGTAATAGAACACAAAACAATGATTTTTAAATTTTTTGTCTGTTTGTCGGTTTGTCTGTTTGTCTGTGCGTTTGTGCACAATAATCTCAGAAACGGCTGAACCGATTAAAATGCAGTTTTCATTATTATATTGCGGCATTAATATTTCAATCGGTTCACAAATAAAAAAGTTATGTCAATTTGAAGTGACGTGGTCGCCAAAATTGCTATGAAATATTTACTGTTTTATTAAATTTTCGTCTTTGATATATTGATCATCATCATTAACTCTTTCACAGCCAAACTGCAGGGCCTCAGGCCTTTGTTTAATAATTTTTGGTCACCCATCCCGTGAACAACTCTTGCGAAAATTGCTTAGCAATAGCGATCGTGCGCAGCGGCGCATATCCGAGCTACAAATTAATATTGTCTACAAAATGGTAATTTGTATGATGACAAATAAAAAAATAAGATTCCAAAATTTTGACATTCCGAAGTAAGTTGACCTCATTTATATATAGCCAATCCTATTAAATAGGATTCAGCTTATAATGGACATGTGGTATACGATCACGCGAGTAGGAGAATAAGCGGAAAGAGCCTTCCGATGATGCAATTAAGCCTCGAGTAGTTTACAGTGAACGCATATTTTTATCAGATTAGGGTCATGTCGTCGTCGGGGCCAGCGGAGGTGGTTGGCAGCCGCTCCCGCATTGCACGGTTTCGTCTGTCTGAGAGAGGCACTCGATTTACCCGAGTCTGTCCAATTTTCCTTCTGCAAGGGGACCAATAGTCCAATACTTGAGTGTCCTGGTGATTCGGCCATAGCTTGCCGGTTTTCATTTCCCATGAGAGGGTGTAGAGTACGCGTTTTGGTGGGTAGGCCTCTGGGGACCCACCGGGCAGCTCACTGTCGGGTTCACGGAGGAGAATCCTACTCACCCTTGTTGCTTGCCAGGTAACAGAGACAATGTCTGAAGTTTTTCCACGACGTTAAAAAACTTAGATTCACGTCAACTGAAGTTAAGAACGTAAAGACAACTCGAGTTATATATATTTTTTCTCTTATTGCTATTTTTTATGTTAATACCGTACTTCAAAGTTGGTATTTTCAGTCTTCGCTGGAAACAATGCTTTATTCATTGGTCACAACACTCATATAATATTACGCAAGTCTGAGGGTCGGTTCAGAGTAGCTCGGTGGCGTAGTGAATAAGCGCCATGGCCCGCGATTGGAGTTGTAAAGCAACTTTCGCAAAGGTTGGGCACAGGATTGATGACCAAAAAATATAATCTCAAGCAACTGCAGTTGGTGACGTAAAAGGGCTGATGATGATGATGATGATGATGATGAGGGCCGCTCAAATCTGACAGAAGCTCAGTTAGTCACCTCACGGAAGTATGTTAGTAGACGATTTCCTTCGAGTGAGGAAAGTCGAAATTAAAATATGTAATTTTTTTTTTATATCAATAAATAAAACTCCACGTATCTTCCGTCAGACATGTACTGACTGACTTTTATAGACAAAGAAAGAGATCAGACAGAAAGCGCTCGGTCTCGGGAGACACCTGAAAAACGCGAAGCGTATTTAACTGCCCATCGCGAGGCTACACATGCAGTATGGTATGAGTATTTATTTTTTTATAACATCACATACATTGCTCAGATTCCAAGATGAGTAGCTAAAGCCCCCGTATTATGGAGTATATGAGACAACGAAGGTACCTCAACACCCAGACCCGAGTCAATATAGAAAAGTTCATTTTCTACATTGAACTTTTCTATATTGACTCGGGAATCGAACCCGGGACCTCAGAGATGGCGACACCTTGAAACCGGCGTGCGAACCACTCGGCTACGGAGTATGAAACTTCTTTTGATAGGGAAATGCGCTTGGTCTCTTTAAGAGCTTGCAGTTTGTACAATAGAGATCGAGAAAGTAGTTTCGATTATCGCCAACCCGTGTTGGCTTCGTACTCCACAGGCGTACCGCAGAAAAGTTTTCACAGGGTATAATAAATTAGATATTTTCCCACGACTTTGCCGCAAAATTATAGCCTATGACATGCGCGTCTGATGTAGCTTCCCGTATTCGATGCAAACAAACAAACAACCAAATTTTTCCTTTTTATAATATTAGTATAGCTTAGGTATAAGGGGTCTGATGGCGTAGTGGGTTAGCGCATTCGGTTTAAATTGCAGTTAAATAAGTAAGTAAATACTGCAAGGACATACATGAATACTTATTTTACATAAATAAGTACAAACGACAAACTCATCGCTAGCCAGCGATTTCTTCCAGGCATACTAGCATTACATGAAAAATAGAACAATAAATAGCCGATTGTGCATACAACTAGACAAATAATAATAATAATTAAAAAAAAAATCAAAAACTAAAGAAGGACCTTTTAAAGGTACGAATCAAATGCTCAGACACAAGCGACAACCAGAGCGCGAGAAACGAGAAAAAAATACAAAAATATTATTCGTAAGGACCGTTTACAGGATGGGTGACCAAAACATTATTATCTTGAGCACTGTGCACAACACTGGCATAATGCACGTTAAGCCGTTAGTCCTGGCTGCATCAGCAACCTCAACACCCACCGATCCGCATTAAGCCCGCGTAGTGGGTTATGGCCCATTGATCTTATTCGATTCGTCTGCATTCATAGAAAAAAAAGAATTTTACCAAAATACTTCCCACGCAGACGAAGTCGCAGGCACAGCTAGTTGTTAATAAAACGCATTATTGGTATTTTTACAGCAGATTTTGCATTTCAAAATATTTAAATAAAATAACATTTTTGGGTTTAGAAAACAGGAACTAAAGCCACTGTCTATTAGGATTTTGGGAATTCTGATTTATAATGTAAAAATTTGATCCATACATCTTTAACGCAATATGCGTCCCTTATTATTTATACCTGACGTTTATGTTTAACTGATAATGTTCTCAGACCACAGTATAGAGCAGCTATTTACTTTATTGGTCTTAGATAATAAAGGTAGACCACCATATAAGGTTACTTAAACATTAAATTTTAAAAATGAATAATAATTAAAATAAATAGCCAATATCTTCCTTGTGTATACAGGACAATCATCAAAACCACAGAAATTTGCAGATAATAATTCTAACGTTATGGGAATAATACATGTAGAAATTTAATTCGATTTAAGTTTATTATTTTCAATCAATAATATGCTAATTTAATTTTCCTGTTTTTGTGATTTTACTTGAATTTGTACTTTTTCATACCTATCATGATTATTTTTTCACCAATATATATAGCACACTTATCGTATTAGCAATAATATAGCATATACTTACTGGGTCAATTATATTTGTTCAGAATTTTAATTCTCCTTTTAAAAAGCTATATAAGCTAAATTTAATTCGCATGTTGTTTTATTTTAGTATTTACACAGTGAAAAATTTGTTCGATAAGTAAATTCATCCCTCTTAGAATTACGTTTTTTTTAATATCATTTCAAATATCACATATTAATTTCAAATATCACATGAGTCATTGCCCGTTGACATGAGATGGGCTTAACTTTGAATTCACGATGAAGGCATCCGCCTCCGCCTAAATTTTACCGTCCCTTAATTTTCGAGGTTGAGAATGTTTCTGGATAATCAAAAATGATACGTTAAATTAAAAAAAAACAACATTCATTGGCGTATTATTAAATCCTTTTCCATTCCATGTCTATAACAATTGGGCAATGTACTGATTTCTAGTAGAGAATACCGCCTGCCAGCTTTTCAAGTTATTTACAACACGCATGCGTTAGGTAAATAAGTGAAAGCTTTTGGAGGGAAACTCCAGTTTCAGCGCGAGCTTTTAGCTGACCGCGTCAAGTTTAAAACCATTTACAGTTGAAACATGCTTGAAATTATTTTTTGAATTTGTATATAGAGATATAGATTTGTATATTACAATATAAAATAGTTGTAATTAAAAGGCAAAACATAACACAGCTCTAATAAGTTAAGTCTATTACCGACTAACAATAGTCTCGATAAGAAATCTCACTTTCTCTAAAATACTTTTTTTATCCGATATTAAATTATATACTACTATAATAAACATAATACGGGTGTTTCAAAAGAAAGCACGACGATCAAAAATCATTCCGAAGAAGTTCTTGTTACGGAGTACACACACTATCCGACCGTGGCCTTTGAGGAAGCACCGCTCGGGTCGGGAGGCGGCGGTGCCGTCTTAGCCCGTACCACATCCCGACAATGCGTCGCGTGCGCGCACAAAGCAAAGCTGACCTCTGAATCGGCACCCGCACCCCCATACGTCCCACCGGCTACCGCCCCACCGATCACAAGCCCGTCGGCGAGCGCCCCGCCCATCTTAGAATCGCCTGAACCCATAGTGTACCAACCGGAGGTGAAGGAAAGGGTGTCGCCTCCGGTCATTCCGACTATTCCAACTATGGCCGCTAAGCCGGAAAACATGCGAGAAGCGCTAGAAGATAGAGACCCTAATAATTTGAATCAGCACGTACAGGTGAGTGGGTACAAAATCATTTTACTCATTTTGCTTTTATTCTTTTAAACTAACTTTTATTATAGGATTTCTTTTGATGTGGGAATTTCAATAATTGTTTTAAAAAAAACTAAAATGATTGAAGATAAAAAAATAATGAATTTTTGTTTTCAATGAAAAACAAGGCAGTATATTGTAATTAAAAAAAAAATAATTTTATTCAACTTTTAGATTTTCTTGGGAACACACAACAATAAAAAATAAAGTCTTACTTTCACAAAATTTTATACGTAAATAGATTTTTTCTCAGCTCGTTACTGTAGGAACAAAGAGTTCGAATCCTGAGAGATCCAGGATTAACTTTAATTTTCAAACAATATATAAAAAGAAAATTTCAAAATTTTTCGTTACAATGGCACCTTTTCTCTTATTTCCTTAACGAAGTAAATAAAAATAGTAATGCGATATTATCCAATAATACCATTTTTTTTTAAACTACGTAGATGTAAATAAAAATGTGTTGAGTAAATGCAAAACTTAAGAAAAAATGGACTAAATTAGCTATTTTTTATCACAACTTATTAGAAGTTGAGTAAGATGGTGAGAAAAAAATTGAAATTGGATGAAAAATAATAAGTATAAATAGTAATACTACTTTTTTTCCAAGGGACAAAGTTCACCTATATATTTTTTTATTTAATAATATGACAATACTAATATGTAGTTTTGGAACCATTATAATAATTAATGAACAATAATTTATCATTAAATAAAAATCTCATGAGGATCAAAGGATACACATTAAGCCACGTCTAGTAACAGATTATCTTCTCTTACTCGTCGCTGAATTGGCGACAGGTTGTCAGCCTGTCACCAAAAGAATATTAAGCGATAAAGATCAATGATATAAAAGAACGACTTTAAGCCGCTTCTTTCAGTCGACTTTTACGACTTTCAAGGCATGAAATACCTTTAATCCATTCTATATTTCAGTTTTGAAACTTGTGTATGAATTTTTTATCATGTATTACTCGTAAATTTATTATCATCTATTAAACTATTTAATAAGCGACAATTAGCATCGTGAAAAGTTAAAAATAGTTAATTGGACCTTTTTTAAATTAGAATTTGTTATTTTAACAAATAAAAACACTGCGTCATTCCCAAGTCCAAGTCACTCATAAATGTTAGAGTGTGATGAATGATTTCTGTGTATAAATGCAAATTCGGCACTGAAAATAGAAATGAGTATTTTGCCAAAGGAAGGCTATTTACATTTTAACAAACACCACAAAGAAAGACGCCAGACGGACATGTGGCAGGTATCTAAAGGTCACCCAGTTCGCCCCTGACATAACATGTTGGAACATAAATAAGTTTGCTATTTCATATATATACATTTTCTGTTGACACAATGAAAATACAAAACTTCATTTTGAACAAATTAATAACTTTAATGTAATAATTCTATAATAATCACCACCAGGCTTTTAATATCCCCACTGCTAGAGCTCAGGCCTTCCCTATAGATGGTATCTAATCAAATGGAATAGGGAGAATGGGTCATGGGCCACCACATGGACCCAGTGCGGATCGATGGGTGTTAACGACTACATAAACAGCCAGAACCACCGGCTTCACGTACCTTCCGAAGGATGGAGGTGCTAGAAATATGAAATAGATGGAGGTAATAAAAAAAATTTGGTCACCCATCCTATGACCGACTATGCGAAAGTTGCTTAGCAACCATATCGTAGATCGAACGTGGTAACCACTGTGATATCGAACTCCTTTTCTTAATAATCCTTTCAACTACAATTTAATTCTGTTTATATAACTTAGTGTCGTTAATAAACTTACTGTTTCTGCAAACCCCTGTGTGTAAACTTAATTACAAATTATTTATGTATTGTACCTGCTCATAGAACTCGAATTAAAATTTATTAAAATCATATCATTATTAAATAGATTTAAATTGAAAATTTCTAATAGAACAATTTACTTAAATATAAAAATAAACGATGAATAGGCAAATTTAAACTTGTGCGGTAAAATAAAATTTCAACATGTTATTTATATTTTACATGAAACTATACGTGTGTTATATTATGCTACATAGTTGTACGTAACCGGGTAGTAATTAGCTTTTATCGTGCCACACCAATCTTTGTTTAGAGTGACGGCTTCTAACTACCACTCGGTAGAATTTTCATTCAGAATCTACCTTCCATACTAGTTAAATAAAATAATATGAATAGCTAGGTGGCGTAATGGATAAGCGGCCCGCGATCGTTGTTTTTAATCAACATTCGTAAGGTTCGCTCACGGAATAGATGTCCAAAAAACTATTACTTCCAAGTTACTCGAGCTTGAAAGGCACGTAAAGCCGTTAGTTCGGGCTGCAATTCGTTTATGCCCTCTAATACGCATTGGGAAAGCGTTAAGGGTAATGGTCCATCCTCCTTAACCATCTATATGGAAGGCCTGAGCCCCTGCAGTGGGGACGTCAAAAAGTAAAAGGATGATGATTAAGACAAATATCTTCTTTCAAATTCCATTCCAAGATTTTCACTTCGTCTTGGGAGAAATTACTACATAGTATAAAACAAAGTCGCCTACTCTGCCCCTATATCCCTATATGTATGCTTAAATCTTTAAAACTACGCAACGGATTTTGATGCGGTTTTTTTTTCATAGATAGGGTGATTCAAAAGAAAAGTTTTTACGTATAATACAAGACCAAGTTAGCTAATTATAAGCTAGTTAATTATAAAATCTTCCCATAGGTGAATTAATTTTTATGAATCAGTAGGTATTTTTGAAGATTACCGAAACAACAAATAACCGAAATGAAAAAAAAAACTTTACCTCTTTAATATTAGTATTGATTTTTTACAGCGAATTAAAAGCATATTAGTAAAGAATCATTAAAAAGAAACTTTAAGCACCAAGCACTAAGAAATTCATAATATTAATTATACCCACATGCCGCTCTGAAAACAGGAAACAAATCAAAGCAATCAACATAGTATGTTGTTTGTGGAATCAAAGCGCTCGCGTGTCGTCGCAAATGAGTGTACACATTGCCGAAGATAGAGCTGCTCTACAACTCAAATAACTATAGTATACCGTGAGGCGATTTCGGAATAATAATAAAAAATACCCACAAATATTATTCCAAATTTTGTACACCACATGCCACAAAAATCCTACACGTAGTTTTTATATGAAACGATACGCAAGCATCCTTTTTTCTTTGTTTTGTTTTATTTTTAGATATGCGCAACGCTTGAGTTTTTGTTTTGTATATCAATGTTTATACGTTTAGCTTAGCTAAAACTAGGTAGGTACATAGGTAATATCAATTTAAAATATTATAGAATAACATGGCATGAAATACAGTATGAGAAAACATACAGCTAATGGATGGCTGTATGTGTTCTCATATATCATGTCATGGATTTTGGAATTTTCAAATCTACCAATGTATCTATCTACTGACAGTAATTCTGTCGTCATCTCGTTTTATTATAAATACTAAACAAAAAATAACTTGTGTATGCTTGTTATCCATTGAAACAAATACCAAAATGATTTATTACAATCATTAATTCCTTGAAATACATCTACCAAAGTTTGACATTCAATCTTTCATCATTTAATCACCATTTCTTAGCTTAGAGCGGTGTTAATATAAACCAATTTGTATACTGTGTTTTTAAAACCTGTCTCAATAGAATACGTATGTATACGTATATATTAATTTTAATAGGTTATCTTAAGTTTAAGCTATACCTTCAGTCAATGAACCCTATAAAATAACAAAAGAAAGCTCGTATAATTCTTAACAATCGCGTGACCACAGTCCGTCCGCTGACATCATATTAACTCTACATAGATTACTCTAGGTAGCCACTTTAATTTAAAACGCTTCGTTTATCATTTTATCTAGAAATATATTTCGTGCATTTTGTATAATGTTAAGTTCATTGTACAAAAAAAATTACTTACTTAAGTTTTTAATAATACTAGATGTCACACTGCGTCACGTCTGTGAACGAATTTTTATAATCGATAAAATAATTTCCTAGCCTTTCAAAAAAGAACACCAATTTTCCCATTTTTAAAATAATATAAGTAAACCTAGATAATAATAGACGAATTAATTTTACTCGTAATTGTTAGAATGTTAAAAAAAGAAAATCAAAGTAGTCGTGCAATAGTTATTTTTTCTCTAGGATTTGAGTGATTCCAACAGACATAATAATTGGCAAAACGAAAATGTTGGTAAGAGGAAGAAGATAATGACCTTCACCTTTGAGGAGAACTTAAGATAAAGATAAATAATGTATAATTTTGAAAGAATGAAAATTACCTTTTGTTCCATTTCAATGTCATCGTTGTGACAGTAAATTTTTATTCATTTTAGTGACATTTATTTTAGTAGTTTCTTTTTTTATTAGGAGCAGTAAATTAAAAAAATATTTACTGCCTGCTTACCTACAATTAGAATTCTTTACCTTTTTTTTTCAAAAGATTAAAAATAGAAAACAAGTAGGTACCACAACTACGAATATTTCACTTCACAATTAAATGGTATTTGGACAAACAAAACCATTGTAAATGATAAAACTAATATCACAAAAGTTTTAATATATACCATTCCACTTACTATTTACAGTCAATGATATCGATATTACGCATTACGAATTGATTATTTTTCACCAATAATGTCCTTGAAAAAGGCAATGACATACTGACACAACAATCAATCAGCCTTGTCTACAATCAGCATTGAATAGTTATAAAGGCAATTCTACATTAATGTGCGTAAAGCAAAAACCTGACGAAATCAAATTGATATAATAAGATGAATTATGCTAAAGACAGCTCCTTATCATATATTTACTTTAAGGAGAATTCACTAGACGGGTATGCCCGCGAGCATATCTGCAAACATATACAACGACAACGGTATGTGCAACGACGACGGTCCTACACTAGCCAAACTCGCCTGCTCTAGACTAAACGAGGTCTGGCAGGAATGTCTGCAGGCAGCCTTGTCCGCGGGCATGCTCTTCTAATGGATTCCCTGCTTTATTTATTAAACATTAATAGAGTATTTATCAAAATCTGATAATAATTGTTAGTCACGAAATACCTAAGCCGCTGAAGTTCAAAATTATGTCTTTAAAGAAGCGACTTCTAAAGTATATATATTTGATCAATTACGTTTAAAACAAAACTAATATTGCATACAAAAATAGTGTAACTTGAGTGATCATTAATTATTAATAATTCTAAACGCGTAACTTACGCTACTTTATATGTATTGGGTCAACATTTTTCATAATAAACGTTCTTAACTATAGACGCAGATATTTATTTTGAGGGGAAGCGCTCTAAGTAATAATCCATCATTGTATGATTCATCGTGAAAATGACGAGCGGTCACCTGACGTTACTGAAAGGCCATCGATTGATTTTCAATAACTTTTAGTGTCATATATGGTACAAAGGATTACCAAAGTTCTTGTTTTTAACTGACTGAAATCAAAGAGGAGGAGATCCTATTCTTTGACTACCAATTCCCCCACGAATTGCAAAATGCTTTCAAATATGTTTTAATTTTTTAAAAGATTTTCATTCGAAAGAACCTGAAGTAGTATTTATAACTGGATGATTTCATCGAAATAGCAAATCTTTGTGATTTCATTGATTAATATTTATGTCATCTTCGTAAACAAATTCATGTATTTTGTTTTTCTATGATTTTAGTCAAATGTGTGTACGATGTACCTACGACCTACATAATGTATAACTTAAGATTTTTTATTAATTACAGACTGCAAAAAGTGAGATAGTAACTCATCTATCTAACAACTTCAATTGAAGCAAAGCGATAATATCTCCGCCCTACTTCAATAGAAGTCGCTTGAACAAATGAATCGATCAATTTCATTACAGTAGGTTTGATTATTCCCAACCTGCCCACCAACACAAGTGATGCTAATATTTCAGAATGCCTTCTGTTCACTTTACATAATTTATTGAGTTAAGAATACTACTGTATTGTCTCAAATAGAGCGGGTTTCAACACGAAATTTCGACACGCTACAACACAACCGAACATGCGATGTTCCGATAAAAAATACGATAGATACAATAAAAATTACAAACAATCCATAAATTCCATATTATCGAAAGATAAAACTATCCTCAAGCAACATCCTAATTTACATCAGAATCAGCTTCTTTCGTTAAGCTATAACTTAAGAGACATTCAAAAATAATGACCAACCCCAGCTTACGTATACAATTCATAGTGCCATATGTTTTTTTCTGTGTGAAAAATGAGTCGTATTACTAAAGAAAGATATCTCTAGAATTACTCTTTACTTGTGAAAAAATGCAGATTTGGTGGGAGATCGAGATGCCATTTTAAATAGCTAAAGAATATCAAAATTATCTAAGAGCTTTGCAATTGTAATACATTTGTTGACTAGAGCTTTAGATAAGTTTTTGTTAGAATTTTCATAACTTTTGTATTTTCTTATGTTTATATATTATAGTCATATCATCACTATGTTTCTTATTTTCTTGTCTAATTTATCTTTAAAACAGTCTACGCTTAACTGTCGGTAACAACATTCATGGCTTATTCGATCTAGGTATTGTAATAAGAAGAATCTTTTAGCTCATTAGGCTAAGCTCAAAATAGTAAGGCGGAAGAGATGGCGAGCAAACAAATGTAGTCCGTAATAGTATTCATTACTAGTTGCTATCGTCTTGGTTCGTCTCGGTGTTTGTACATTATGTTAGATGGAGACACGCGTGAGTAAAATATTTTATTACCCCTAAAACCATGTAGCCATGGCGTTAATAATAAATTAATCGGAGAACTAACCTACACCAATATGTCTAATCAAAGATTTAATACTGTCTGACTCATTATTGTCTGACGTATACAAAATGTCAAAATATAAATTACATAACCTATGTTTATTTATAAGCAGGAACATTTTAAAATAAGGATTTTATATATGAATGGATAAATGATTATCAAATTAATATGCCCTTCTTTTGAGAATTCGTTAGTAAATTTTATTAAATAATACAATAAAACTGTCATTTCTATGAAGTCAAGGTTATTCACATTAATAACCTTGGCTTCATAGACAGCTTTCTCATATAGGTATGACCTGTCAATCAAAAATACCGACTAAGGGGCCTTTCATTAATCACGTGATGTGTTTTCAGTATTTTTGAACCCCTTCCTCTCTGGTGATACGTGGTGAGGTTTAAGACTAAATCACTTTTCGGTTTAGTAATCGCGCATTAGAGGAAGAAATAAATACACGTAATATATTACTACCATCCCCCTCGACCCTTGATAAAGTTCGTGATTTTTGACGAATTTCTTTCGAGCCTCGCATGATTAATGGACGGCCCCAAAGGAATATTTACATTTTTTTTCCTAATAACCTTATCCTGGAATAATACATGAAGTAAGGCAACAGGACGGCAAATTTCCAACTGTTTTATATACTATCTCACTTCTATATACCGCCATCAGATTCTTTGCAGAGTCAATGAAGGAAATACTTTTACGTTACTTTAATGTCATGATTTGGGGTGATAATATGTTACACCTCCCTTAATTACATTTCCATAAGACTTGTAAAATTGTTTACATCTTCTAAATAATAAGTGGCTAATAATATATATAACATAAGATCTTTCATGTATTATTGTATGTTTGAGTGGACTGCACAATGACTATTATCCTTAGTAAAATAATATTAGAAATTGAGATACTTGGAATTTATAAATATTCCTACTTTAGAAATAATTATCTAATTTGTATCCTCACCAGATAGTATGGGATGATATAATCGGTGAACCAGAAGGTGCACGCAGCCCAGAATGCTCGTGGAGGCTGAGCTCTATCTGCTTCCAATACGCCAGGAACTGGTGCTACACCCTGCTGGCTGTAGTAATAGCTCCACCCTGTGCCCTGTTGCTAGGTTGTGGATTTGCATGCCTTGCATTTGAGGTAAATCATGCTTATTATTATTTTTTTATAATTAACCAAGTCACTTTTTAAATTAATCCAGGCGGTTCGGTAAATGTTAATTTATTACACAATATCTCCGCTTGACTTCAATAGATTTTAAAAATTGTATCTTTTTCGATATTTTGTTTTAACTTAATAAAATAGCGATTTTATAGCTACTTTTATCTATACTAAATATTATAAAGAGGATATATAGGCTCCGTAACCGCTGGATCAATTTTAAAAATTCTTTCACCTACGGGTAGCTACATCATACGGGGTTGACATACGCTATAATTTACGCGTGCATAGTCACAGGAAAATAGCAAATCTAAAAAATAATACTCGTCGATTAGTATTACATACATATTTATTTGTCTATTTCACCAGGTTACCACATAAGGTAAATTTCTTCATTCAACTTTGGACTTTAATGACGATTAATAAAGATATCAAATCGATATGAAGTCATCTAACGTGCATGCGTTAATATTTTCTTTTTATATAAACTGCTAAAAAATAGCCGTTCATAAACACGTAACATAACATTACCATTCCGTGTAGTAACTGAAAATCACAACCACAAAGAGCTACCTGTTTTACAAATGTCTGAAACATATCCCCCTGTAATTTCAGTTAATTTATGGTACACTTAGAGTGTGAATAAATTATTTTTTATTTTAATACAAAGCAACTTACATGTGCTATTCTTTAAACTATAAAAAGTGGCTATAACCAAAGCACCTTACCCTACATACAAAAATAGGCCACGCGAGAATCGGACTCGCGCACGAAAGATTCCGCACCATTATCAATTAAAAAAGAATCACGTTCGTTCTCTTTGAGTTGTTCGAAATTTACGAGGTGTAAGTTATTATTTCGGTTATTACTCGTAAACTTGTAACCAACTTAAGTGTGATAATATTCCTTTTAACTTCATTATACTCGTATATAAGTACTTCTGCCGTAACATTTAAATTTTCACCAACGACCGTTTAGATAGTAGAGAGGGGGGAAGACACTTGACTCTAACGAAAACTGGCTCTTTAAAGCTTAATAAGTCGTAAACCATTTACTAAATGGAAAAACGGCCTTTCCACGTGAGAAAGACGAAAAAGAATATCATGCCACTTTACATTTTTTTTTCGAAATTTTACTTTACCCCTTTGTCGGTGTAATTAACGTGTATACTCATGCCGTATTCCAACTTTCTAGTACCAACAGTATTTGAACAACTCCATAGAAAACAACAAACGTTACTTTTTACTTTTTTAATGGGTTATAGTACGGAAGAAGAAGAGTTCTTCACAGACTTCACAGAATTAAACTAAGTTGTTTCTGTGTTTTTTTTGCTAAAAACTGTTGCATACTTCATACATTTATAGTTTTTTTGTTATTAACAGTTCACTCATTTATGTATGACTAGCTGTGCCCGCAACTTCGTCTGCGTGGGAAGTATTTTGGTAGAATTTTTTTATTCCTATGGATGGAGTCGAATCAAATAAGATCAATGTGCCATAACTTATTGCGGATCGGTGGGTGTTAACGTTGCTGATGCAGCCAGGACTAACGGCTTAACGTACATTGTGCCAGTGTTGTGCACAGTGCTCATGATAATAATGTTTTGGTCACCCATCCTGTCCTTACGAATGTAATTTTTTATCTTTTTTCTTGTTTCTCGTGCTCTGGTTGTCGCTTGTGTTTGAGAATTTTATTCATACCTTGAAACTGTCCTTCTTTTGTTTTTGATCTTTTTATTATTTATCTAGTTGTATGCACAATCGGCTTTTTATTGTTCTTTTTTCCATGTAATGCTAGGTTGCCTGGAAGAAATCGCTTGCTAGCGATGAGTTTGTTGTTTGTACTTAGTTACGTAAAATAAGTATTCATGTATATCCTTGTTGTGCAGTAATTTTACTCATTTATTTCACTGCAATTTAAATCGAATGCGCTAACCCACTACGCCATCGGACCTCTTATACCTAAGATATACTAATAATAACAAACAACCAAATCATTCCTCGTTATAAAAAGAGGAAAGATTTGGTTGTTTGTTTGTTTGCATCGAATTTGCCCAAAAACTACTGGACCGATAGTTTCAGAGCGATTCTATCTACGGGACGTTACATTACGGATGTCATAGGCTATAATTTTGCGGCAAAATCGTGGGAAGACAGCTACTTCATTATACCTTGTGAAAACTTATCTGCGATACGCCTGTGGAGTATGAAGGCAACACGGGTTGGCGATAATCGAAACTACTTTCTCGATCTCTATTGTGCAAACTGCGAGCTCTTTCCGAGACCAAGCGCATTTCTCTATGAAAGGAAGTTTTATACTCATACCATACTGCATGTATGTTACGATCAGCAGTTAGACGCGCTATGCGATCTTCAGAAGTTTCCTTAGATCAAACGCTTGTTGTATGAGTTCTCCGAGAGCTCAAGAAATTGTCCCTGACGGTAAATGCTTCAGATTCAACTTTATAGTGCATGAGCTTAGCGTATGAACGTATGAAATACGTTTCGCGTTTTTCAGGTGTCTCCCGAGACCGAGCGCTTTCCGTCCGATCTCTTTCTTTGTCAATAAAAGTCGGTTGGTACATATCTGAAGGAAGATACGTGGAGTTTTATTTATTGATATAAAAAAATATATACATATTTTAATTTCGACTTTCCACACTCGAAGGAAATCGCCTACTAACATATACTTCCGAGAGGTGCTTAACTGAGCTTCCGTCAGATTTGAACGGCCCTCATCATCATCATCAGCTCTGTTATGTCACCAATTGCAGGAGCCTTATGGATTAAGGAGGATGGCCTACGACCCTTCATGTTGGCCCAATGCGAATTGGAGGATATTAACGACGACAAATTCAACCGGGACCAATCACTTTACGTGCCTTCCAAAGCTTGGAGTTGCTTGAAATAATATTTTTGGTCACCCATCCTGTGAACGACCTTTGCGAAAGTCGCTTAATATCTACAATCGCGAGCCTTGGCGTTTATTCACTACGCCACCAAGCTTCTCTGAACCGATCCTCAGACTCGCGTAATATTATATGTGTTGTGACCAATGAATAAACCATTGTTTCCAGCGAAGACTGAAAATACCAACTTTGAAGTACGTATCTTCAGCAATTTGTATGTAAAAAAAAGAGTATTAACATGAAAAAAAAGTAATAAGAGAAAAAAAATATATAACTCGAGTTGTCTTTACGTTCTTAACTTCAGTTGACGTGAACCTAATTTTTTTAACGTCGTGAAAAAACTTCTGACATTGTCTCTGTTACCTGGCAAGCAACAGGGATGAGTAGGATTCTCCTCCGTGAAGCCGACAGTGAGCTACACCTTCTCATGGGAAATGAAAACCGGCAAGCTATGGCCGAGTCACCAGGACACTCAAGTATTGGACCATTGGTCCCCTTGCAGATGGAAAATTTTAGAGACTCGGGTAAATCGAGTGCCTCTCCCAGACAGACGAAATCATGCAATGCGGGAGCGGCTGCCAACCACCTCCGCTGGCCCCGACGACGACGTGAACCTAATCTGATAAAAATATGCGTTCACTGTAAACTACTCGAGGCTTAATTGCATCATCGGAAGGCTCTTTCCCACAGAAATAGATCTCTTTCCGCTTGTTCTCCTACTCGCGTGATCGTATACCACTTGTCCATTATAAGCTGAACCCTATTTAATATGATTGGCCATATATAAATGAGGTCAACTTCGGAATGTTAAAATTTTGGAATCTTATTTTTTTATTTGTCATCATACAAATTATCATTTCATAGACAATATTAATTCATAGCTCGGTGGCGCTATGGATATGCGCCGCTGCGCACGATCGCTATTGCTAAGCAATTTTCGCAAGAGTTGTTCACGGGATGGGTGACCAAAAATTATTAAACAAAGGCCTGAGGCCCTGTAGTTTGGCTGTGAAAGAGTTAATGATGATGATCAACATATCAAAGACGAAAATTTTATAAAACAGTGAATATTTCATAGCAATTTTGGCGACCACGTCGATTCAAATTGACATAACTTTTTAATTTGTGAACCGATTGTAATAAATCTTCCACTAAATGTTAACGGAAGAATGCCGCAACATAATAGTGAAAACTGCATTTTAATAGGTTCAACCGTTTCTGAGATTATCGTGCACAAACGCACAGACAAACAGACAAACCGACAAACAGACAAACAGACAAAAAAAATAAAAATCGTTGTTTTGTATTCTATTACGTTTATAAATGTCCCTTATAACAGTTTTTTTCATATATCTTCAATGTACAGACATCGATCGGTTACGTTTTTATTATAGTATAGATTATACCAAGGCTTCAAGATATCATTCAAGATATCTGGAAACATATCAAAATTCTGTTTATTGAAATTTTTATGAACTTTATTTTCAGCAAATTTGGTGTACAGCGCCATGTTTACGGTGCGTGAAAATTTACTTCGCATCCCTCCGCACCATGGTAGCATCGTGCATGGCTGCCACCGTTGTACCAGCGTCGGAAGCGGTCGGCCATGTTTGCCGACATATCCGCATCAATTGGAGGAAGGAAGCGCCAGAAGAACGCGACATGCTGGTCATTTAGTTAATTTTTAATTTATTATAGTGCTGGGTTGAATGCGATGAACTGATGTATCGAGTGATTGGTATAATGTTGACGTAAAACACTAAAATAAATGTAAATTCAAATGATTTCTATTAAAACGTTAAAGTATAAAAGGTAAAATTATTGAAATAACCTAAGTGCCTTTAAAAGATATTAATGTTAAATGTGTCACGAATGAAAAAATGGAAAAAATTAGCACCATAATAAATATGAGAGCTTTTAAAATGAGTCGTTACATGTATTTTTTTGTATTATGAATATAGAATATTATTAATATATAAGTTAAGAAAATAAATTGTATTTTTTTCTTTGTAATTGGATCAAAACCCATTTACATTGCTATGGACACTAACAATACAAAGGTACTATTTACTAAAAAAAATGTGACTTTTTATTTGAATTGTGGTTATCTCGGAAAAATGGTACATTTAAAGATATGAAAAACTACTAAACATGCAATATCTTTGGTTGAGTAAGTTCTTTTAAGTAAGTAATTACTTACTTAAATTTAGGTGTTAGTTCACAAAACGTAAATTCAAACTTAAAATAAAAAAACGATTATTCAGATACAGTTGTTTCAAGCACCAGCCACCAGCTCTAATGGAAGGTACGACATTCACAAAAAGCATGTCAAACTAGATTATTTGTGTTGTATATTTATCAAAAAATAATAACTTAATTTATATTTTTTTTGGTATTTTCGTATACAATATAGAGAGAAGCGAGAGCTTTCAGCTTAATTTAATATTACCTCAGAACTATCAAATGCGCCTGGGCTAGGCTTTCGAACCATCTAACCCATTCAGGTCAATGAGTAAGTTGTGGCGCCGCATGTTTGTTCCGCACGGCAATCAGGTGATTGCCCTAATAACCGCACCTCAAATGTTACTCTAGCACGCCATATGCATGTCACTTTTACGATTTATACAAACACGAGGGAAAATTAATTTTCTTTATAAATGTATAGACAGAGGACAAACTTGAATCACGAATAAAAATATGTGCACTTAAAAACAACTTTTCAAAAATTTACTTTTTTGATATAACTATAACAATTTGCGAAATGTCTTTTCACAAAAAGAAAATTACAGACAGAAAAACTGGATTATTAAAATTATTATTAAGATACAAAAAAATGTGACCCTCCTTCTATGAAAAAAAAAAACCGTGCGTATCTAAATCGCGTACAAAGTTCCGCATAAATATATATAAAGAACTTTTTTGTATTTTTTCTTTGAGTAGAAATATATAAATTATGTGACGTTTTTACAATACTACCTTTAATTTAATATGTCAAACAAAAATAATTATAAAAAATTGGCAGTATGATTGAATTCCGGCGCCTGTCCCAAAGGACAAAGAAATATTCTACAGACCAGAAATAAAATTTGGCGGGGAAAATTTTTGAACATCTCTGAGATCAAGACGAAATCCATAAGCTGGTTTTTCTAAAAAATATAAAATAGCAAGCTAAAACAAATTAAACTAGTAAGATACGTTATGGACATCGACACGGAGAATACGTCTGCTCGACCTGTCTTCAGCAGTTCAACATCGAACCCAGAGTCTAATCAAACAAACAGTCATTTTATTATCGCCGAATGTCGTAGGTTTGTAACTATTAAAGTTTTTTATTATCTAATTCATATTAGGTTAAATTTATATTATTTAGTTTTGATTAAATAGATTTTTTATTGCTGGTTTACACATATTACTCGTAAGTTGATGTGTAGCTAACTATTTATTGTAGTTTTAAATAATTAAAGTGTGTTTACACGTACTTAATCACTAAAAATTGAAGTTAACAATTCAATTAACTACTTATCATCTTAATTCGTGTTAACCAGCGTCCAATAAAGATAAATGATGTCATTTAGTCTGTAGTTATTTAATTATACCAACTCTTATCTTTGATTCCTTCAGAAACACTGATGTTTCGACAAATCAAAATATTACAAATAATCAAGAAACCTCCGAGGAGTCAGACGCGGAAGAAGTAAGTATTCTCATGCTTTGATAGTAATAATATAAAATATAATAGTATTAAAAAAATCATACAACAAAACAAGTTGTAAAATAGTCGACGATCTACATAGCCGAGTGATGCCATCTTTAAGGTCCCGAGTTCAATTCCGGATCGGATCAATATAGAAAATAAAGTTCTCTATGGGTATATTATCTCGGGCACATAATTATATTATACAAATTATGTATATGATGTTCAGAATGATTGTTAAAAACGATATTACTATCATGTTTCTTTTTCTTTTTATGATAATGGCGCTTGCCACAACACTGAAATATCGGGAACTTAATAAAAACAACATATACAGCAATTTCGTTTTTAGCAATAATTCTGATGTTAATGAACATTTAAGTTCAAAACAACATACTGTGTATGATATTGTCTCATACACAGTATCTAGTTTTAATAATTTTATCCCAAAATATTTTTCTTCCGGAACCAGCGACTCTAGATGAAAAATGTTTTAGGATAAAATTATTATCTTACCTCTGTCATGCTAACTAGCAAACAAAGAAAGCAATGAAAAAAATATATAAACAGTTTTCTGTAAGGGAGAAATTTCATAGCCTTAGCTGTAGACAATTAGGTATATAATCTGTTTGAACGTTTATACGATCAGATCCCTATATTATGACTCGTTGGAAGCATTCCATATTATGTGTTGGACTTTATAGTATCTATATCTAAAAGTAATATTTTTTTACGTATAGGTAATATCGAATATAGTGTTGACTTCAATATTAGTAACAGAAGAAAAAATCGTGCGGAAGATCAGACACAGAAACCTTCTTCTCTTCTTCTGTGTTCTGTGATAGAGCCCCCTGCGCCGCGAATGTTTGAAGTTAAAGCTGGAGCAGAGCTATAGTTTTATTAGTTTATCAATATCTTAAATAATATTTCGGGTAGCTTGGTGGCGTAGTGGATAAGCGCTGCGGCCCGCAATCGATGTTGTTAAGCAACTTTCCCAAGGGCCTATCACGGGATGGGTGAAGAAAAAATTATTATCTCAAGCTACTCCATGCTTTGGCAGACACGTTAAGTCGTTTGTCATAGCTGCATTTGCAATGATAAAATAAAAAATAAAAAAATGAACATTTTCATTTATAAATATTAATAAAACCTGTTATATAGCGTTGGTATTCATTCTAGCTTTGAGTGCTCTCTATATCTATGGCTACATAATTACTATCCATTCTGAAATTAAATTTAGAATGGGTTGCGGGTTATGAGAGGTCAAGCTAGTCACAGATAAGAGAATTTTTATAACAAACGCTTCTTTTATTTTAGAAATTGCTCGCCGTTTATTGTAGAGGAGGAAAATTAGGCGCAGCTTATCACACAATTCAGACAGGAGAAGTGAGTTGAATTAATCATACATATTTCTATATTATAACGATATCCAATCCAATATTTAATTATAAAACCTTGTAACAAAAATATTATGTACATACGTGCGCATAATTAATATGATTAGCCAATTATGTAACCACAAAATTACAATGATCTGTAATAGTTTAAAGTTTAAAATCATCGAGATTAGTTTGTTGACTGTTTAAATTTATAAGTAACTAGCTTTCGCCAGCGGCTTCGCCCGCGTGGACCCTAGGGAAATATTAAGTGGGATAAAAAGTCATCTTAGTCAGCTAATACCCTATCTGTATACCAGATAGGGTATTAGCTGAGAAGAATTTCATCAAAATCTGTTCAGTAGTTTCGGCGTGATTGACCGACAAACATCCAAACATCTAAACATCCAAACAAAGAAACTTTCACATTTATAATGTTAATAGGCTTATTAAATAGGGTTTGCAACATATTTATCTTTTAAAAACATCTATACCAATTTTAAAATTTTATTATTCATGGAAACTTGTGACCTTCCTAGAGACCCGGTAAAGTTTTTTTCAAAGACTATAGGTAGTCAAGTTTTAACCGACTCCAATAAATTGAGGCTATCAATTGAAACGGGGTTTTTTCTTGTTTTATTTATTAACGCCCAACTTAAAAAATAGTATATTAAAAAAAAACAATTAGTAGTTTGAAAATATAAAAAGAATCAAATAAAAAATATAATAAACTTTAAAAAAGCTTAATAAAATTGAAGAATGTGTAACTTCTTTTTAAGTCGGGTGGTTAATATTAATGACTACATAACCCGAGTGAGATTTGAAGAGTTAAAGTCGGTTTTATGAAAAAAAAAAATTTGTAATTTAATAATTTTACAATAGAAGCAGATCTCAATATTTTGAGGTCTAAATGTGTCTTAATTATCTTTCACAAACAGTTATTCATACTCGATGAAATAGTTGATCGCCCACCGGAGTACCAGATGTTTCTGAACCTGTTTAGACAAGTGGATCCTTCTCGTATTCTTTTGGAGGGCAAAGCGCAAGGCTCCTTCGTGCAGACAGTCAAGAAGACAGTATTCGGTAACAGCGACGATGAAGCTACGTGTAAACTCATTTTTATATCATCTCGGGAATACAGTAAGTATACTCCTTCTAAAAAGCAGTACCTAAGGAGTACTTAAGAAAAACTAACCAATCAAATCACCCGTATTGCTGGTGCTGTCAACGATTGATGAGGAGATGAAGTTAAGTATTTTTTTCAAAGATTGGTCATACATAAGATGTGTAATAAAGAGATTAACTCGAAGCTCTTACCTTAAGCCATCGAACCGGCTGCATTTGCAGTCTTTAACACCTACTAACCCGCACTGGGAACGCGTGGTGTGTCACGGCCTTATGTGATTCAATTCCATTCACAGGAAAGGCTTCTGCTCCAGCAGTGGATATTTTAATATGCTAAAGATCATAATTTCCTTCTGAAGTCCAGACCATTATTGAATATAATGTCAGGTTTCGAAGCGTGCAAGAGACGCATCCACTCACTCTCTCTCCCTTATGAACCCAACAATTGTTCTGAAGAAGAGCGTAGTCTATTCCTTCGCACCGTGGTAGACTTCAGTCAGACACAGAGCGTACATGCCCTTGGTGCGTTGCTGCGGTACCTAGATTTGAACTGGTCAGCTATAATAATGGATCTTCATAGCAAGCCAGAATACATGAGTCTCAAGAAGATTTCTTTGTAAGTTAAATCTGTCCATTCAAGTTTGCAACACTCAAGTGGTCACCACAATTTTCGCACATTTAAGTAACAATGCCGTTAAACCAAAAGTTTGTTATTTTCAGTAATTTATAATTAACAGGAAAGGTACACAGAATAATAAAAAACTGCCACTTATTTTTTTACCAACTAGACAAAAAATGAAAATACACACGTGTTTCTATTCTAACGATATTTGTTTGTTAACTTATATTTTAAAAACCTTTTGAGTTCAGACGGAACCAAAGAATAAATAAAGTTCACAATCGCAATATTTCAAATAAATTTCCTTTATGAAGTATTATTATTCGATTCATAATATTATTTTTTCCCGAAACTTAGAACACGTTTATCTTTGTAATATTAGAATGAATTAATAACATACGCTGTACTACATTTCCAATTTTTTACTAGATTTTATTATTTATTGTCACTGCCTGTATTAATGTAACTTATACTTATTTTTATTAACAATATTATTCGATTCATATTTTCACGAGACTTAGCAAACGTTCATCTTTGTAATATTAGAATGAATTAATAACATACGCTGTAATACTTTTCCAACTTTTACTGTATTATTATTTATTGTAATAATGTTTATTAGTTATTATAATACTTATTTTTATTAAAAAAAAATAGAGCTGACATACTGACCATTGACGAAGACACATACCGCGGTCTACAAATATTCAGTCCAGTTTCGCACCCGAGTGGCTTCAAACGAGGCGCACGAGGCACCAGCCGTGAGGGTCTCAGCCTCTACCAGATGTTCAAGAGATGCTCCTCCAGGATCGGTCAAGCTAGAATGAGGTTAAGCTCTCTAATTTTTTTGTTCCATACTTTTTGGTGCGTATATGCCTATAGAAGTTCTATTTGCTTCTGGCCTCAATAATTAATAAAAAAACAGAAATACATTAATTAGCAGGTAAAGTCCGACAATTAAATATTTGAGGACTAATCAAACAAAAATAAAAAGGAATCATTTATGAATTTATCTATGTTTAAAAAAAAATATTGAATTTTATGAAAATCTTGCAAACAATTTGACTTTATCCTAGTGTAAAAGGTAATTTACCCAAAATATTCAAAAAATTGAAAATATTGAAAAAAAATCATTAGAAAGATTGTTTTATTTTTAAAATGCAACATAAAATGATCATTAATAAGTACTTACTAAGTAACGAATTCAAAATACTTAGTAACAAATGATACTTCAACTGAAACTCGCTGTATGGCCAGAAATGGCACAAATCTAAAAAATAAGAACGAAATATTAATAAGCTCTCATCTGTATACATAGTATAAAACAAAGTCTCTTGCCGCTGTCTGTACGCTGAGATCTTTCGAACTACACTACCAATTTTAATGCTGTTTTCATCAATATATAGAGTGATCAAAGAGGAAAATGTATAATACAAGAATATACTATAATATAATACAAGACCACTCGGGCGAAAACAGTTGCGGAAAGCTAGTCTTTAACAATCCTTTCCGAATGGGATTTTTTTCCCTTTCTCATTAGTTTATTCTCTTCCTTAGAGTGCTCATGCAGCATCCCACCACAGACATAGAAATATTGACCCGACGACAGGAAGTGGTGGCGTTCTTTATGCGACCACAGAGCGATGTCGTCTCCAGGAATATCTGTTCATCTTTACGCTACATTAGAAATGTCAATGTTAGTCGTATTATATTAGTAGAGCTTAAGCGCACTTAAAACTTGTATTATTTTATTTATCACAAAGACATTTGCAGCAGATGAATTTAGTCTAGATACTGGTTACTTCAGCAATATAACATAATTAATTTTTGTCCGTTACTCAATCTGCGGGGAATTCGTATTTCCAGTAGCATATTTTTTCCAGTATTGTTTAAAATTAAAAATTTTATTTTTACTTCAAAATTTAACAAATCTATTTTCATAGTTTTCGTTTCAACAAAATCTCTTATGTTTAGGCTGTGCGATATCAAATCAGTCAGACATTATGTATGAAAAAGATTCTTATAGTGGTAGATTTCTTAACTATTCATTTTACAAAATTTTGAAGGTTTTACTAAGGAAATTATAGTAGGGGTCTATTTGAAAGTTTGAATATAAGTATAACACCATACTTCTCTTTCAGGGTATACTAGCAAAAATAAAGGCACTCTCTGCAAAAGCCCACCAGTGGAAGGCTCTTTATAATGTAAGAATTCCAGAACATTCTATAACATTGATTTCTGCTTTATGCTTATTACCAGTAAACGACATTTTATGATAGCTTGGTAAGTCCTAATAGCATTTGCAAGTGATATTGGTTGATGCCTTGCCTGTTTCAGACTTTGTACAATGCAGTATTGATATGTGAGATGTGCGAGAATACAGTAGGGAACAGTGCATTTTTGGAACAACTAGCATCCAGTGACAACACTAAGTTATATGAGGTGACAATTTATTATATCTATACCGACTGCATTTAAAATGACTCTCCAAATTTTTTCTAGGCATTAGGTATCGTTAATAGATCACATATATGAAAAAAAAACGGTATGTAAAATTTTCAAAATGAAATGTAAACTTGTTGCAATTACAAGATAATTATAACATTCGCATTGTCACATTAGTTATGAATAAAACAAGGCAGCAGGGGTAGCAAGGGCGCGGGCGCGGGGGATGTACGCGCATGCGCCAACAACAATGTCTGCTCGGTTTTTTATTTTGTCGGCGCACATCAGTCAGTCGCCCGCGCACAACCCCTTTGAACGCATGCGCTTCCGCCTTTGCTTCCGTGTTGCGCACCGCCCGTCGCAGCGCCACATTTCGCGCGTCGTAATGTATTCCAATCGCGAATATTATGAAATGGTGCAGTGTTACATACATGGTGATCAACGTGACGCGGAGGCCCCATCGTGGGGCCTGCGCGATCGCCGGACCTATCACAGTGTGACTTTTATTTGTGGGGCGAAATTAAAAGACGTTTGTATGTTGAGGAAGCACAAAGCCTCGAGGACTTAAGTGCAAATCAGAGCGGCATTTTACCAAGTGAAAAATGACACGGTAGTGCTCGCAAAATTAAAAGACAATGTGCAGAAAAGGTGCAAGACTCTGTTTGGAGAGGAACGGTATGTACTTTGAACAATTATTAAAGTATACGTAGGTAAATAGTTAAAGTAGGTAGGTAAATTGATTAGTTGATTAAGTACATAAAGTTGATGATTTTTTAAATACGCCCGATTGCAAAAGAATAGCGAGTTAAGTACCTACTTTGAATTGGTTTAACTAAACAGAATTTTAGGTAACTCGATATTTACTTACCTACTTACTTTATAAATTTAAAGCAGTATAGCTATTGTAATAGTAGGTATCTAATAGGATTTATGCAATTTGACGGTCCTAAGCCCGTAAAAGTATGAAGAGGTTTCAACTTTATTTATCATTTCCCCAAGCATGACAAAACGAAAACATTTTAGGTAGCTGCTATTATTACTATCAATGAATTGCGGCAAGGGAGGGAGGGGTAAGTGTAACGTAGCGCGTAAAGCGCATGTACTGGGCAGCGAGAGCGTCCACAAATGTAGGTTTTTTGAAAATAACTTGGTGACGATATAACTCAACATTTTTGTTCTAAACGACATAAAAAGAAAAAACACGTATTTCATTATTTGTCGTAAAGATTAACATACTCAAATTTGGAGAGTGGTTTTAATTGCTTGCTGTATATATTTAAATTTATATTTATTTCAATCCTATAGGTTATTTTCATACAGATGATTCAGTCTCACAAGATACATTAAAGAATCGTGTAAAACTCAAATCATTGTCTTTTATATTTATTTGGACGTCAACATCATCACGTGGTATTTCCATCCCATCTACCATCTAATATTCCATTAAATCTTCTTAGACTATTGAATATGACCAAATTTAGGTCATCCACTTTTAATTATTTCATTCAATGAATTTTTGATGTCAAATGTTTATAGATGGCGTTGTATATGAACAGAATTATAGACTTCGATCTCACCAAGTCCGAAGGGAAATTCACCGTCAAAGCTGGAGTGGACCCCGAACTTGATAGAAGTAATATTTTTCTACCAACCAATACAATTATTATCACTTTTTTATAGTAATGGAGTAATGATATGACGAAGGTAGTGAATAGAAGTACGTCAAGATTACTCAAAACCTAAAAATTAACCGTATTTAGGAAGGCCTATGTCTGGCAGTGAACTGCTTTGGACTGATGATAGTAAAAGTTATAGTAACAGTTTTGTAATATAATCGGAAACTATAGGTACCTATTAAAAACTATAAAAATTTTGCTCTTTTATAATACAAAATGAAGACTTCCTATAAATGTAATGACGATGTACCTACACACAACAACGATGACAACTGCGGTGTTCCTTAGCAGGTTATACAAATTGATTTTAAAACTTAATGATCGATTGTAAAATAAGACATTAACGTTAAAACAGTTTTAAAAAGATCAACAATAACTGGGTAACATTTTGTAAATTTAAAATTGATCAAATATGATAACTATGTAGTTCAATTCCTGTTATTAATAATTAATATTTATGTTTAAATATAAATATTATAATAAATGTAAACGTAACCATGTACGTGTGTTTTAATGAAAGTTCGTACACATCCCTTGGGAAAGGAAATAGAATAGCTTTTAGAGCGATAATAACGAAATTCAATATAAAAGATAAATAACCAAAAGAAAGCTAGTACCTAATAATATGTTTTGTCAGATTTTACTAAAACCCTGTAAATATTTTTACCAAATTGTTAATTTGAAGAGAAACAAACGATGGCGAGTCTCCACGGACTGATGTCGGAAACTGCGAAAATTGAATTGGAAAGGTTACCGGAATTCGTCGAGGAATGTACCATGCTTTATATGCCTCACCTCGGCTACCTGCTTGGAGTACGAGCCTGGCCGAATATGGTGCCAGGACAGAAAGAGTTACCTGGCATGAAATTCATGGTGATTGTATATTTTTTTAAATCACTTGCAGGGTGAATGTTATTAATGTGGGAGTGTTAAATAACAAAACTTATGCTAATGATAGTAATTTTTAAATCATTGGCATTCCAAAATTATGGAAATGGTACGGAAATTAACCTACAGAAATCACCCACACTCCGCGTACGGGCCCTGTCCAAAAATGTAAATCAACCATTATAAAATTACATACTCGATAATGCCCACAATGGACATGTGTCGATAAGTCCGGTTTCGGTGAGTGATTCACAAAATGTCCACATACATGTTGCAGGTATTTGTAATTGAGAGATTAATTGAGGAGGAGAACAAATCGCAGGAGGTACTCGGGGAGTACCCGAATCCTTTATATAGACCAATTTATCGTCTAATGAAAAATTTTATTAATCGCTATTTATTTTTCCAATCGATCAAAGCTTGTCCACGATGTGATTGAACCATTTAGGTGTCAGAGCCTATTAAAATTCCGATCATGGCAACAAATAATGTGGTCAGATTTTTTTCTAAAGATATGAAAATACAAAAATAATTTTGATTGAAAACAGAGCAAACAAAGGTTTGCTCTGTTTTGAAAGCATCATCATCATCATCAGCCCTTATACATCCCCACTGCAGGGGCTCAAACCTTCCTTATGGATGGATAAGGAGGATGGGCCATGATTCTCCACGTTGGCCCAATGCGGATTGGAAGGTATTAACGACTGCAACTGCAGCGGGGACCAACGGCTTAACGTGCCCTACGAAGCACGGAGTAGCTCGAGATAATAATTTTTGGTCACCCATCCCGTGACCGATCCTTGCGAAAGTTGCTTAACGACAACGATCGCGGGCCGCGGCGCTTATCCACTATGCCACCGAGCTACTGCGCGAGCAAACCTTTACTTTATCAAAATTTTCAGTTCCAGAATAACGACTACATTCACTATAAGAGCAAGGGTTGCGAAGGTAAGTAAGACGTAATAAAGTACCTTAATTTCTAAACTACAGCAAACGCTGATACTATACAACAATATAAGGCAACAGAAGTGCTAGATGTTCATAATATAACAACTGTTCCAGAGCTTGACGTGATGATAGGTGACGCATATCCGGAGATAGTGGCTCACGAGACACGTATTATGATGCGGCTAACCACCATAGTACTACAAAATCTAAATACCCTGGCTGGACTTGTAGATAAATGCACAGAATTAGACTGGTTTGTTTTCAACTCAATATTTTACCTACTTGTTATTATCTGCTAGTCATTAAATATTTTTTTCGAAAGATATTCGATAAGTAAAATAAATATTAGACAACACATTTTTAAGCAATGTATCTGGCATTGTTCAGATTTCAAATTTATTAGCTATGCCGTCGTATTATGGACTAACTGCGACAAAAAACAACAAAAGAGGTGTGGGATTCTCCCCCATCACCGGCCTACCCACCAAAACCCCTACGGTGTACCCTCTGCTGGGAAAGCAAAACGCATTATGTTGTTATTAGGTTTTTCCTGTCTCCCAGGTCATAGAAACTTTAACAGACGCGCAAATTTACATTTTTAGCCACTCCAAAAAATTTGTGTAAATCTGACGGAAGATCCGTCAAGCGTATCACGTTGACGTCACGTTGGTATACGACTGATGAATCGTCGAGCGTGTGAAGCTAATGTCATATCACATATATGTCAGTTCTGATATTCCGCAACCAACAACACGCGTCACATCTTCGATCTGATATGGACTCGGGCCGTTCAAATGTCAAGCTTCCAATTTTGCTTCAATTATGCCACTTTAACTAGTCTTTATGTGTATTGACTTTGGAACTTGAAGTACCCAAACCGATTAATTAATGTTTTCGTCCATCCACATCAGCCTTATAGCAATATCGAAAGTATCCAAGGAATTTGGCTTTATACAACCAACGTTAGTATCTGACAAAGTACTAAGCATCAAACAGGGTCGCCATCCCCTGGCTGCGGCTACTTGCGAAGCGTTCGTGCCAAACGATACTGACAGCAGCCTGGAAACTGGATTCGTCAAAATTCTCACCGGACCAAACTCCAGCGGGAAATCTGTCTACATGAAACAAATCGGTAAGTATTCTGAAACCCATAGGGTTTCATAGAACAGTTATTTCCTGCGTGTTTTTGGTAGTATGTAGTCCAAATACAGTTTTCGCAATTATGCGCAAATATTCGGAATAATGCGAAAGTTTTGTGACAGGAGACAGCTAGCAAAACTAGAATAGATAAATTTTGGTCAGCAAGTTGTTTTATTATATCTCTGTTAATATCTGGGGGCACGAAAGTGCTCCCACCAAGTCGACCAAAAAAATAAAAAGGGCACGGCCGTACCATCCTTTTCTTGAATCCATTCGGGCCATTTTGAGCCTTAAATACCATGGACGAATATTTATAACTAGCATGACTGTTCGACAGGACTAATCGTGTACTTAGCCCACATAGGCAGCTTTGTGCCAGCAGAGCGCGCCACCATCGGTGTGGTCTCTCATATCTATACCAGAATACACTCCACTGAATGCGTTGCTGCACATATGTCGGCTTTCCTCATTGACCTGCGTCAGGTAAAAATCTCGTTTGAAAAATACAAGTATGTAGGAAACTCGTATATATCAAATGCGATTAGTAGAGTAAGATTAGCGAGCGCGGTGGAGAAGCGGATACTACGCCCCGCGATTGTTCCGGTCACGGGATGGGTGACCAAACAAAAAATATATAATATTATCACTGTCTGCATAACATAGCATACAATATATGTATAAATATAAATAGTCGTCGTTGAACAGTGAAGAACAAAGCAAGGGCTAATGAATCCATATATTGCAGCCTATAAAATAATAATTAACACTTTTATATAAAATGAAATGCCTCTACAGACTTTGCTTCACTTATATCATTACAATTATTTACAATATTTGAAAACATTGTTCAATTGAATTTAATTTATTTGCATAAAACGTGATTTCATTAAATTTTATCGAAATAGTCAATTGACTATTCAAATAAACAGTTAATTCTATGATAATTACTTTTAAAATAAACTGTTTATATGGGTTTTCTTATAATATCTAAGAATTAACTACATAAGAAAAATCGTACATAAAAGCGAAATCGCATCTTGCTCTCTTATTTCTGCTAGGCGTTTTACATCACAGAGTTTTATTTATATACATATAATTCGTGTTACTTATATTTTTTAAGAAATATGTCAGATTTTCAAGTAGTACTTCATAAGTACGATATCCCTAATACTTAAATAATCTAGAAATGATATATTTACCAAATTATCGGTATATAAGCGTGGCTGAGCTAGGTCGTATACGCTGTAGCCTGACCACAAAAAAAAAGCTTGAACTGGCGAAATACTGGCGGTTTTGACTTTTGAGTACCAGGGAGTATGCCGTCGTAGAGTTTATATACATGACCTGCGCATTTTTTGGAGTAGTGCCATGGCTAGAACAGATCACACCCATCAGAACATTCGCCGAAAGCCATGAGCAGATGTATGCTAGTAGAATATAAGCTATACCTACGAGTATATAGTTATCATCATCATCATCATCATTAGCCCTTTTAGGTCCCCACTGCAGGGGCTCAGGCCTTCCTTATGGATGGTTAAGGAGGATCGGCCATGACCCTCCACGCTGGCCCAATGCGGATTGGAGGGTATCAACGACTGCAAATGCAGCCGGGACCAACGGCTTAACGTGCCTTCCGAAGCACGGAGTAGCTCGAGATAATGATTTTTCGGTCACCCATCCCGTGACCGACCCTTGCGAAAGTTGCTTAACGACAACGATCGTGGGCCGCGGCGCTTATCCACTACGCCACCGAGCTATATGGTTATTATAGTCTGGCTTTATTAGTTTTTAAACATCAGTGATCAATTACCTACTGCCAAATGTTAATTTTTTTATGGTAATAGGTGCGGTGTATGAGCAACGTCTTAGGAACTCAGATAAATAAGAGAATGAGTAAAAACCTTACCGACGTTTCTTTCACTAGTAGAGGTTTGTAACTGACGTAGGTGTTCAGCAGTATAAAATCTTAACTACGTGGATCCTAATATTTATAGTCATCCCACAATATTACGTAATAATAACGAAGTCAATTTTTGTCCAACAGATGGCACTAGCGCTTCAAGAATCTACATCCAACTCCTTGATTATAATCGACGAATTCGGAAAAGGCACATCCGAAGTAGACGGCCTATCCCTCTTAGCCGCTTGTCTCAATACATTCTTGTACCAAGGAGAACAGTGTCCTCATCTGTTCGTCTCGACACACTTCTTAGAAATACAGAAATTTATAATAAACACACCTATAGCCAAATTTTTGGTACGTGCTACACTTTTATCATTTGTGAGCGTCGAATGGCATTTTTGAGCGTTTCATATACAAAAGGCCAAATCATTAGGCGTACAATATCGTCTAGATTTTTTTTTCAGCTTGTAAGAGATAAATGCTTAAATAGGGGAAAATAGGGGATTTTCATATTTTGACCAAGATAAATTAAAAAGAATACAAAAATATTTTTTCTTATACATTTTTCAGATGAACACATTTGTACGATGAATGCCTTTTAATGCGCACATGATTTGACATATTTAAAAAATCAATACAATTTGCGTGCTGTCTCAATGTTCGTACTAAAAAGAATTAATTACTCATATTATTATCATAATATACAAAGATTTGATTTAAAACAGAGATTTGAACATACCCTCCAAGATGGTGAACCAGTATTTCTATTTCGCTTAGTGGAAGGTATTGCAGAGAGCAGTTTCGCTCATCAAGTGGCCGAAGCCAGCGGTATAACACCCAATGTGGTGCAACGTGCTCAGCAAGTGTTCGACTGTGTTAAGGTTTGTTGGCGCCCAACGTGTTGTTTTATAACATACATATTTTACTCAAAATGCTTGTAATTTGTATATAAAAGCTGTTAGAATTATAAAAAAATTGTACGCGATTAACAATACATAATTTTCTTTTGTTACATCTTGTAAATGACCTGACAAGTAATTTCAATCAAAAATAATTAATTTCTACTTTTAAAAAAATCTCCCTTCGTTATTATATGTACTGAATTAATGAGTAGCTCGGTGGTATATTGGATAAGCGCCGCAGCCGACTACCGTTGTTAAGCAACTTTCGCAAGAGTCGGTCACGGGATGGGTGACCAAAAAATTGGAACACAATTGGACTATAATTAATTTTCAACTGTAATTGTAAATTGTATAGATCCAAAATTAATTGGAGAATAGTGATAGGTTTATATAATTTGTCTTATGTTCATTATGTAAAGTCTACATATTTCTGTTACAGAACAATAAACTACCACCGGAAAATAAGAAAATAACAACAAAATTGCAGAGCTTCATCGAAATAATAAAGAACGAACTACTATCAGAAGACATTTAATTCTTGATAAAATTCGCTCAATAAAATACAAGTTACGATATTTTCAATAGCCTTAGCGATTAACAGCAATAAATAATCTTTATATAAAATTTTAAAAATATAATATAAAAAATAATCACAACTTGCGCTTTAATGAATTCACTCGATTTGACACGCTTTATATAATGTGTATTTTTCTTAAGACAACAATATAAATAGTATAAAAAAGTATTGACATACTTAGTTCAGAAACAAACAAAAGAAACTTAAAAGCTTTAGAGATACTTCATTATTATACACATTCTATAATAATTTTTCAACATATTTGATACCACAATTTCTTCTTCCTTTCATAAATTAAATGCTGATAAAATTCAAGCATCGTGCAATAGCACCAACTACAATATCATGAGGAGTACACTTACTTCTATCCATTTTTTTAAATAAATTATTTAACTGGAATGCGTTTTATAGTCGAAATCAAGACGTAACTTCGTATAGTCGTATATTATATTACTTTTGTTGATAATTCATATTTTGTGACAGACAACGTCAGTTGACAAACCATGACAAGTATGCAGTTTTCAAAAACATTTTATATTTCTAATATGGATTGGTAGAAATGTTTTAAAAAGCCTATCATAACATTTAATTGCCTATGATGTAAATTGGGTTGGCAAACGAAAACGTACAGTGTTTACAACTGAAAGTGACAATTTATGTTTTATGATGCAATTGTTTCGCTTCATTTTGGAACTAAAATCGCTTTAAATTACCAAAGGTGTCAGTCGGTGACCTACGGATTATACATAGGTTATCGACCCCTGGCAGACTAAATTAAAAAAAAAAAGAGTCAATTCATATCAAAATTAACAAATGTTATACGTTACGGAGACACGGTTTAAGAACCTTCATAAACAATGGATCTAAACTTAATAATGTGGTTCATATTTTCCATTTTGACTGATTCAATTCATTAATGACTGAAAATTTGTGTTAAATTATCTGTCTGTTTCTTTATATATATATATATATATTCTTTTTTTTTTATTAAAATGCAAGAAAATAGAACTTAAAACATTTATGGCATGGCAGTCTATATATGTTCGCCTGATATGTTTACATAGACTTCATTTGCTTCATGAGTTCCTCCAGTGAAAGTTCAGATGCAGCAACAGCTCCACCTGTACTCGATTCTGGCGTTTCATTGTCTACGGGAACACTATACGCCAACTGTAATGAAAATTTTGAAATATTTCGTAAGTTTGGGCCATTTATTAGTATTCACAACCTATATAGCCATTGTTCCACAAATCTTAGGCAAGAAATGCTGACAGGTGGTCTACTGTCCGTAGCGTTCGTGTCTGCAGTAGCGGATTAAGGAAGGGGCGGAAGGGGCGGTCCTCCCCGGGCCTCTTGTCCTGGGGAACTTCCAAATGGCAGAGAGTTCTCTTGATCAAATTATAAATTGGGGTTGTACTGCCTTATGTTTCTTATGTCTAGTTTCGTAGTTTTAGCAGGCGTATTAGCGGGGGTGAGGGGAAGGGTGTAAACGCAATATCAAGTATCGTATGAAACATGACAGCTAGACAGTTGATATTTTTTTGTTATGATATATTTCTGTTCCCACTATAAAAATAACTGAAAACAGAATGAAATAAACTCCCAAGAGAGTTCCCATGACGTACAACAAACATGTTCTTTTTTTTGTTTTTTGTAGATAATGTCATGGAACCCTTCATGCGCACATAAAAAGCAGTAATTGCTGTATAATTGGTCAACTTTGCTTCATTATCATGCGATTAAACAGAATGTTGCATTTTTATATAGAAGTTTACACATAAGAGTCAATTCCGACATTCTCACTTCCATAATACAGCATTGACGTAACATTAGTTGTTTGCAACAGTATTACTTTTAAGTTAAATTATATATTAAGTAGGTAATGAAAGTTAATTAACCTGAACACCGTCAACGAGGTTCAAATTAGTGGGTTCTTCTTCGGGTACGTTTTCGTCAACTAAACTGATACCTGTAATAAAAATGTCTTTTTTTTTCAAAACAGTCAAATAATAATTTACATGACTGTAGAATACAAAAATACAGACTCATCTATAGTTGGTTCTATAGTTTGTTTTTACTCTTAGACATCATAAGACTGATCTGATGAGTTTTTTAAAGTATTATAAAGTGAAAATAATGAAATGAAAAAAAAACTGTATCTATTTTATATGTTCTTTAAGAAATATTAATTTTCATATTACAATATCAGCTATTAACATAAACTATGTTTTGTTAATCATAAAGTAACATAAGCAAGGATATATAACAAATTTTCAAATGTTCACTAATTGCAAAATGAAGTAATTAATTTAGATGGAAGTTTTAATGTGCTAGTGTTCTTATCTGAAAGTTCTTATAGTTGAGCTTATTATCTGAAACTTATCCTATATTTGAGACACAAACTACTAACCCCATTCATTGTCTGCGTGCACAGGTGAATCATCTTCTGTAACTTCAGTAGCCAACTCCACTACTGGTGGTCTAGCTTGTACCTCTTTTTGTCGAATACGGCAATAATTATCATCACATTGAGGATTGGGCTGTTAAAATATACAGAACTAGTTTTGAGAGTATTCTTTAGTTTAATCATGGGTGTGGTACTCATAGTAAAAGAACAAACTTGGATTTAAATATTTGTCATATACAATTATAATTTGATTGTCACAATACTCACATCAAACGACATGCAAAAGAGTTATGACATGTGAAAGGAATGTATAAATTACATAGATATAAACCTATTAAAAATTAAGTAACATTGCTCACCTTCAAACCCATTGTTGGGAAGAAATCTGTTAATGCACTATATCCTAAGTAATGAGTAACAGTACCAAATCCTAGAAGGTACTTCAATGTATTTTGAACTGTAATTAAAAATATTAAGAATTAATGATAGTAAAGACATTGTCCATTCAATTGAATTTTAACATGAAAAAAATAATAAAAACTTGCATTTTGATTATTATTGTATTATTTACTATAATTGTGTTAAGTAATGTATAAGATACCTAAAAACCCAGCCACAATGCCCATGGTAGTAGGCAAGCTGGCCGCACAGACTCCTTCCCTTTTCAGTGTCTTTTCATCTATCTTAGATGCTACTACAAGAGGTGGTGCACACTGGAAGAGATATTTATTGTAAAAATATTTCAATAAAATCACTTTAATACAACATATAACCCTGATTATGTAACAACAGTTAAATTATTGATCACATTTGAAGCTGAATGAGACACTTTAATACGTAGCACAAAAGTAGTTCCTACTTTCAAATAATTTCTTTTCGGTTAAATAATCTTTGTAAATTAGTTATCAGGACAAACTCAAAATAAGAATGTGATGTGACTGTGATTAATAATATTTATAGTTAACTATTCTTATAAAGACATACAACTTACAGCAAAACATGCAGTTTCTCCGGGTACAATAAATTGTATATGTCCAGACACAGCATTTTCACTTACACCAGATTCAAACCACTTTTGATTGAGCTCATTACAAGCTGTGTTTATGGCCATTCGTGCTTCAAAGTTATCTACACAACTCAGAACCAGATCCACTGACCCTCCTGTTAGACTACCAGTTCTATAGAAGAAATACAGGGTTTTATTTACCTCAAACCATCATCAAACATTATTAAAAAGCTTTTACTAATATTAGGTATGTATTTATAATTATTTTGATGATTAAAATATAAATAAAAGCTGTCTATTAGAGCAACGGTTATCCCCAAGTAACATTATTTTTCATAACTAAGGCCTGTAGTAACCATACAGTGATAAAAAAGATCTATAATAGTAACTATTGTGACTAGGTGTACTATAAACAAACTTAATTATTTATCTCCATCTCTGTTAGTCTCTCTGTAAGGAAGATGTATCACGCATGTAAAAACAGGTCAGGTTTATAATAATATTAGAAGCAAATAGAACAAATTTAAACATACCTAATAGTATCACAAAACTTTTGGAAGTTTTCAACAGTAGTAATATTGTAGTTGTATGCATCTATAGTCACATCTGGATTAATATTCTGCAGAGTAGCAGCTGCTGCATCCACTTTACTTAAACCGGCTTGGTGTGGTTGAAAAAACAGCCTATTCATATTAGCCAATTCTACTTTGTCATAGTCAAATAGGATGAGCTGAAAAAGACAATTTTGATATTTTAAATTACACTAAAATCAAGTTATTTTTTTTAATTAACGTGCTTACAGACTTCAAGTTTAAACTATCAAGCCAGTGATTAAACTTTTTGACATACTTTAATTAAATAGCACCTTAAAAAGGCAAGAAGATATACCTTTCCAATTCCACACCGTGTCAACATTTCAGCAGTAACACTGCCCACTCCACCAACACCAACTACTGCCACAGAAAGCTCACGAATCTTCTCATAATTATCAACTATACCCATCCTCTTGAGAGCCATCAAACGACTAAAATAATAAATGAACTTGACATAATTGAACATACATACAGTTCGAAATTTCATAGTAAGCACTTTGTCATATAATACGCCGGATAAGGTGTTCTGAAATGTGCTTAATTTTGCGTAGTTTATTGAGAATACCTGTAGGGATTAGAATCGACTACTTCAGACGACATTACATCTATTTTCTGCCTCACGGGGCCTGTTGTACCCTGAGCAGCAGCGAGTTTCACCTCCAACTCACGCACCTTCCGCTGCAGTTCTTCCACAGAAGCCATTTCCACTATATTTTTTTACCAAAATATGTTAAAATTCCTTAGATTTTCACTCTCTTGAAACTGCTTGACACATCCACAAACTGATCAATCTGTCAATGTCAGCGATGTCAGCTTATTTTATTTGTCATGTTGACGTTTTGCCACGAATTATGGACGCGTTCAACTAAGATTTTAAGGTAAACAAAAATTAATCCGAATGGAACGTACCGATAAAAAGAAGAAAGAGAAGGAATTTTATACCTATTGTATAAGTCCCGTAAATTGCTATTGTTTTGTATAAATAACCCCGGTAGAACGTCATATGAAAATAGAAAGTAAAGATAGCACAAAAAGCAAGAGATAAATTATTTATTAAAAGTTGAAATATTTATGAATAATTCCCAAAACATTATTAAAATGATTGAATTACTTTTCATTTAAATTATAATATTTGATCAATTTTTCACTCACAATTCTACACTGAAAAATATTCTTAATGAAAAATGCTTAAAAAGTCCACTTTGTCCCTGGCACTCTGAGATGGGACTCGCACCTTTCGCAATGCGGGTGTATGCTCTAACCACTAATCTACCCATGACCTAACATTTTATTTGTTAATTTATTGCTTGAATTTTTTGGAAAAGAATCAATTCATGTGTAAATATTGAGGTATATGGAAAATAACAAAAATATTTACGTGTTTCACGCACAGAGCTGTTGTAAAAACATTATTAACACCCATGACCGGTCTTTATTTGTTGTTTGTTAGCATATTTTTTTTAAAAAGTCATGCATGTAGAACTAAAACGTTTCGCTTAATATTTTTCTATTATCTAACTGACTAAATTGAGTTATTGATTTTTTTACCCAGGTACAAGCATCAAATAATACATAAATATTTACATAGGAACTTACAAAAGGCGGCCTTATCGCTAGCCAGCGATTTCTTCCAGGGAACCTTGCATTGGATAGAAAGAACAAAACATTAAATAGCAGATTGTGCATACAACAAATAACAATTTAAATTAAAAAAAAAAAACAAAACAGAAGAACGACGTTCGTATTAGTAAAGTATCACTAAAAAAGGTACATAAAGTCAAATAAAATGCTCAAAACAAGAGTGGCAGCCAGAGCGCGATATGTGACAAAAAAATATAGAAAAGGCGACTAAACTTTTTTGTGATTTGAAGGAGTTCAAAGATTTCACCCGTGTGATAGATTCAGAGAGAAAATTCCAGTTGTATTGCTTGTACTATAAAAGATTAACTATAAAATTTTGTGAGATTGGGAGAAATGTACAATCGATAGTTTATTAGAAGAGCGAAGAGAGAGATCATGCCTGCGCAAAAAATGACTCATCTACATTAGAGAAATTTAAAGCGTGATTTGGGATATGGAGGTATCATGGGATTGAACTGCCCTGCGATTCGGTAAAAATCCAGACCCGAATTCGAATTCACTTATGTGTACGAATTTATGTCATATAGTGTAGGAATTCTATTGATTCTATTTTTTGTATAGAAATACAAAACAAAATTTATTTATTTATTTATTTAGCTCACAAAACAAGTTACAGTAATATAATTGAAATAAATATACATAACTAAGGAATAAACCATACCGTAACTCTTAAACAAGTGAGCATAGTATGGACCAAATATACAATGTAACATTAAAACGTAGCCGCAGAACATTATACTTTTGACTGGCAGAAAATGCCGCAGGCATTAAGTCCGCCTATGTACATTTGTGCATAAAGTATAAATAAATAAAATAAATAAATATACAAAAAGAAAAAAAAAGAACACAGCTAAATAACATATAAAGAATACAGACAAACACATGCTTCTAAGAGCGCAGGATGCCTTGGACTTGTCTTTTAAAAGTAAGTATTTTACAGTTGAAGATATCTAGTGAACAATGCTCGACTACAAGATCATTATACAGGCGACACATACTTGTAATGGGATTATAAAATGAAGTGTTATTTCTATAGATATGTAGGTAGAAAATTTTGTTTTTATGAGGATTACGCGATTTGTATTTTATATTAAAATTTATTAAAGAGACAAGATACGGTGAGTCGACGAGTGCATGCACTATTTTAAATAGGTATATCAACTGATGACATTTGCGCCGAGCCGAAAGGCTGGACATTTAAAATTTTTGTAGCTTTGACTCGTAGGACTTGTATTCTCGTCCCAAATTCAACCTGAAAGAAAGAATGCTAAGGAACCTCTTTTGAACCTTTTCGATGCGATTCGAGTGAACTTCATAGTGAGGGTTCCAAACAACCGAGGCATATTCCAATACAGTTCTTATTAATGAGTAATAAAGATACAAAAAGGTGGATTGGTTTTTAAATTCTTTAGTGGTTCGCAAGATAAAAAACCAAGTAGCTGATAACACTTAGGAATTATATAATCAAAATGGTCTCGAAACGTGAGGCTTTCATCAAAGTAAACTCCAAGATCTTTGATCACAGAAGTTCGCTGTAGGTAAGTGCCTTCTATATGATAGTCATACACCATTTTATTCCTTCCCCTACCGAAAGAAATCACGAAGCATTTGCTAGCATTAATAAACATTCGATTATCCGAGCACCACCCAGCCACAAGGTCTAAGTTATGCTGTAGCTTGACACAGTCTATGGAATTCTGAATGGTGTGGTAGATTTTGAGATCATCTGCATAAAGCAAGCAAGGACAAGTGAGACGTTCCGCTAAATCATTGACAAATATCGCAAATAGCAACGGTCCTAAATGCGACTAAATATTGACTAAATATACGTATACGTGACTCAGATATTATATTTCTATGTCATTTCGAAACTCATTTTACTTAAGCCACGAAACGTTATTACCAATCAATCCAAAGATGAGCAGATGCCGCTTTTTGAAATGTATTCGGACACCTGAGTGGATTCGAATTCTGGTTTGGATTTGTACAAAATCACAGGGCAGTATAGAATAGCGAGAGCTTATGCATATCCATACGACGACGAATGGGGAGCCATTGAAGTTGCCCACGGAATTCAAAAACAAAAGTTTTTAAAACGTTCAAGCTTATTGATGAGAGATGGGGTAAGGGGAATGATAAAAATACTGCACAACCCCCTCGGCTTCAAAATAACTCACATTTATCAATAATTTCATTAGAAATGAGATATAGTTACGATAACAAATGGAATTTTATGTCAAACTTAATGATTTTTTAATTTGAACTAGTGGCCGCCCGCAACTTCGTCCGCGTGGAAGTCGGATTACCGCGACCCTTATCACTAAGGGGTATGAAAAATAGATAGATAGGTATCAGTAGGTCTGAGAATCGGCCAACATCTATTTGAACTCTTATTCCATTTGTTCGAAAAGGAAAACTCTTATTCCATTTGTTCTATTCCAGAATTCTATGGAATAAGCTTTACTAAGCTTCGGTCTTAACCAGCTAAGCTTCTTATCCGCTTGGTACATTACGGGTTCAACCGTGTACCTAAACAGAAGGGACCGGTCTGAAGCCCTATCAACGCTCCACGTGCGGGACACGTTAGGAACATTAACAAACATCAGTATATTCCGTAAGGCCAACCTAACCGGTGGTCTAAATGTGGATAGACCGGTAAAGATCTAAACGCCGATACTGATCGAATTTATTGTTTGTCAGTTACTCATTGTGTATCGTATAATACGTACTTAGTCCTAAAAATTCTTAGGTATATCGACTTTTTACTAAAAGTGATTTTTACGAAAGTTTTTGAAACAATTTTAGATATAATCGGTAAGTTTTTTTTTTATTGAATCTCTGTAGATAGTGAATAGAAATCTTAAAGAAAAACTAAAATTATCACGGGTAATATCAACATAATAACATTGGAAATCAAAAATTTATTAAACATAATAATAATAAAAGTGTAAATTTAAATTCTAGAAACCATCCAAAATAAGAAAGAAATATAATGACACACAGATCGTTTTAACCAGACTTCTAGGCTAAAAGAAGTCCTGACTGAACTAATAATATGAGGGAAAAATTACGTATTCTAAAGTTAAATTAATGAAAATCGGAATAAATAATATGCATTAATTGTGAAAGTATGTGTAATAATATAATGTCTTGTGATAAATAAGTTATGTATAATATAATTAATTCAAAATTCACTTAATAATAATAATGTTTTTTATCTCTACCCAATTCGGACTGTGACAAATATGTCTATTTACTTACTATCTTAAAACCAGCACCTATTAATATGTAGAAGCATAAAAAAACAACTTAAAATCTTTACGATTTAATAAGAGTGACCGTAAATGATGAGTATTTATCTGTATAGAGTTTGATATAATTAGGGATGACGATATTAGGGGTTAAAGTATGAAATTGCCATTTTATTGTAATAGGTTCCTTGAATTGACTTAGAATCGTCATGGTTTGATGTTTACGAAAGAAACTTTTTTCACGTGGTTTCTATGATGTTCTTCTTTTAAAAAAATGTGAAACATTTGAATATCGACTTTCAATTATTTTGTAAATAATCAATTGTGATTTTCAGTACAAATCGGCAATTTCATACTTTAACCCCTATTATGTTGTAGGGATATCATCCCTTGCGGTGACGAATTTTCCGGATTAAAGGGTTTTTAATTAATTACGCGCAAACTATTACAAACAAATAAACCAAATAAGACAGACCAAATAAGATCTCGAATTAAGAAGATAGAACACTAATATTATGGACTACAACAACAAGAACACAACACCCAGAGATGATACAGAACAAAATAGTTACAACAAGAAATGGAAAAAATGTATATTTATTTAAGCTATATTATTAATTTTATTGCAGCTTGTTTGGAGTTTTTAGATTAAAAAAAAGTTTAAAATTAGTGTTTTTGATGTACGCGCCCTCTTAATAGATGCTTACATAGAAATAGGCTGTTGCTGTGAATAATTATTACTTAATATAAAAATGCAGTCATTCAACTCAATGCAAACCACAAAACTTAATGATTTCCAAATACTTAGTTAACATTATAAAACATAACGATCTCACTGGAAATCCGGTTCTTCCGGTTCTTAGTCGACACAAAATAAAGTTTCTATAAATTCTACAATTATAAAAAAATCAGGTTGCTATGTTGGTTAATGAATTTTTAAATTATTAATTAACTTATTATTACATTATAATTAAGTGTCCGCGACTTCGTCTGTGTGGGAAAGTATATTAGGAGAATTCTTTCTTTCCTATGGATGGAATCGAATTGAAAAGGTTCAATGGGCAATAACCCACTCTGTGGGCCCAATCGGTACATGTTAACGACTGCTGACGGGACCAACGGCTTAATTTTCATTCGAAAGCACGGAGGAGCTCAAGATAATAATAAAGTTTTTCCATAGAATGCTACTAATATTGGACTTCAGGTAGATAGTACAATGGCAAAGTGCAAGTAGTCGGTATTACATTGTGATGTCATTATTACGTTAACATAGCTAAATTAGCTTACAAGCCTTCCCTAATATTAGAATTCAACAAGGAGACAGATCGTAACCCATCACGCGGGCCCGGTCACTGTTTGTGGCGGCTTCGTGCTCCTCTCAAATTACACTTGTATCCAATAATAAATAATCTCAAATTCTGGCTTACGAAACATGGCAAAGTTCAAGATAAAAAAGATGGTCAACTATCATATAACTGGCTCTTATGAAAGTGGCTTGGTCTCCGCATTACGGACCGAATTATCTTCCTATCTATTCTAGAATCATCTAAAGTGTATATCATACAATATGATTCAAACAGATTCAAACCATACCTTTCCAATAAGGAGATACTTATGTTTTGCGGTCGCCTAGCAGTCGAAATTCAGCAGTAAACAATGAGTTAATATTTCAACTGACTGATCCATTTATGACCCAATTGATCTACTATTTACTAACTGGCTATTGGACGGAAGTCTTAAATTGTTAGGGTCGCCTCTGTTTTGTACATAATGTGACAACCGGCAATAGGATTTAGAAGTACTCTATTAATATAAAGCCATTAAAAATATATGTAGCTTATTCGAAATGGTCTCCATTGACTTGTAATAGAGTAAACGTTGATAACTACATAGATCAATAGACGCACGCACTTTTTCTAATCGCATGGATTATTTTAAACTCCAAATTATGATGGCTCCAAATTATCATGGCTTGCTCTAAAAGCCTTGCTCTCTAAAACTGACCATAAATCATAATCAAGCGGCTAAAGATCTGGACTAGACGACGGCCAGTCTTGAGCTCTGATAAATCTTTATGGCGTAGCGTCGAGTCTTTCTGAAATGATAATTCTTGGTTATTGAACATGATGTTGTTAACGAGCTTATTTACATTCTTGAGAATGATATCTTGATGCACTTGTGCCAATGTTTTGATGCTTTTTTCACAAAAATATGTCTCGGTCTCTTCTTCATAGCTAACACCCCACTCAACCGTCACTGAAGTCAGATAATACCAAGTTGTACTCTTTTGACTAATATTCAAGCTTCTTTAGATCTTAAAGCATAAATACGGTCATTTTCTTGGTTAAAATATTGCTAAATTGTAAAAAAAAATCTCATCTTTAAACATTTTTTTTCTGTGAACTCTCTTTGTGTATCGTTTAAGTAGTTGTTTTAGTTTTACCACCCTATTCTTTTTTAATAATCTGATAAGAAGTAACCACTGTCTCTTATAGGCTGCAAGTCCTAAGTCATCTTTTAAAATTCGCGACTTGGTTCTAAGCTATCTTCATCTCCTGCGATAAAATCTTTTTGCTTTCGGACCGGCTTTCTTTGAATTGTTTCCCTTATCGCTTAGATCGAATTTTTCATAAGAACACTATGAGGATGTTTCATTGTACCTATCAATAGGTACGCATGGAAGGTTTTGAAAATTGTATTTGGTTTGGCTCCATACCTACTTTATGTAATGCACGGTGATTGCATTACGATGCGGTTTTATTTATCGACCCACTCCCTTTTAATATTAAAAAATGTTTTATAATGTATTGGCGTTTTATAATGTTTTATAAGTTATGAAAAAACAATCAACAATCTTATAAAATGACAGATTCAAAACTCTAAATTGATATTTTGTCATTTTTAATTCTAACAGTATTTATGGCCAGACTACGTATAAACCGCCACCACCTTAATAATAATGAATAGACAACAACACGTACAAAGCTCAGATTCCAAGATGAGTAGCATATAGCCCCCGTATTATTATAATGGAGTATTATGAACCATCTACTAAAAGACACCGGGTTCGATTCTCAGCCAAAAAGTGAACTTTTCTATATTGTTGTCTTGGATCTGGGTGTGACCTTCGTTGTATTAGATTTCCGTAAGAACTATAAGCGTTTTAGCTACTCGAGAAGCAATAAAAGTGTATAATGTTGTCTAATATTTGTTTATGATCATATAAAAAAAATCTTGTCATAATAGGATCTATTGATGAACCCTTCTCACCTCGCAGCATACTTGCTGCCCTACTGGACAGGTGATCAGGTTATAATCATTTTAAAATACAACTTAGTTTTGACCATTTAAAAAGTTACGAGGAAGTGGACTTTGACACATTATGAGTTTGTCTTATTACAGCATTTTACGGTAAAACGGTTCACGGTAAAACGAAATATATGTGTCTATGCGTTAATTAGAAAACTTTGAAGTTACAAATGGCCAAAAGCGGGTCGTCTGCCACATCTTTCTCCATCAAACTGATTTTACGCCAATTATGTCGAAGTTTCATTAATCGTTCGACTATCAAATATAATTACAAATCTACAACTTCATAATTTTAAAAATTATCTAATTACAAATCTAATTGACAAAAGTCACAAAAGGTATGATTATGAAACCTCAAACTTGTTTTGCGCATAATAATATATAAACCTATTTATAACACGAAAACATCTATTTAGACCATTCTGTAGGTAAACAACATACTTATAACAGCTTAGCCGCATATCTTTTTAACATTTCTTTTAGTATTTAGTAGACTATCACACTCCTCTTTATAGGTAAGGTGTGCAATAATTATACTAATAAAGTTTTATTTTGTGAACGATTTTAGCTATCACAGTGTGGTGAGAATACTTATTAAACAAATATTTTTTTTAAACTGTTTCCTCTAGTCTCATTAGTTTTAAATTCAAATGTTATTTAAATTCAGAATAATTAATTTCTGATTTAGCTCTCGATATTACAGTGGCTAGCACGTTCGGTTTGCGATCGACGTAGTTAAGCAACTTTCGCACAGGCGTTCATTGGATGGGCGACCAAAAAATCATTCACGAGCTCCTCCGTGCTTCGGAAGGCACTTTAAGCTGCGGTTGCATCTGCAATCATTAACACCCACCAGTGGCGAGGCCCGATTGGTGGGTTATGACTCATTCTCCCTATTCCATTCGATTCCATTCATAGGGAACGCCTGTGCCCCAGGCTGGATATGATGATGATTTAGCTGTATTGGTAATACATAGATAATGCAACGTGCATCGAGCAGCGGGGAGAGGACTCCGCTGGTGCAGCCCACTTACGTATTCGACTCAAGTTTCTCACGCTCCTATCAGAAACGCCTGCGACAATTCCAATGCGCTATCTGCGTTGGATTCATGTAAGTTGTTCCATTACATTTTTTTTCTCGAAAATAACACTGGTAAACAGTATTTTTGTTAAACAAAATCGAGTCGGTTTTTTAAACACTACTACCTACCCGCATATAAACCTCATACTTAGTTTTGTTCAATCACCCTCAGTTTTCGTTAAACATAAACTACATTAATTACGGGAATTTTGCTTACCGACATATGTTTCCGATAAATTAATATTGAATTATTGAAATTAAAACGGTTTTTTTGTGATTGTCGTTTCTGTACATCGTAATAAGATGCCCAGAGTGTGTGTAAACCATCCTGATACATTTGCGGCCAACTTACTATTAAAAGTCAACGTCGTAATTTGATACCATTAGTTAAAAACTGTTATTTTAATTATTTTGACTTTCCGGTGCGAAATTTGGACAAAACCTGGACTCCTAGTGTTTGTTGTGCACAATGTGTTAGTTTATTAACATCAGGGGCTAAAGGATCTCGTCATATGCCGTTTGAAGTTCCAATGATATGGTCTGAACAGAAAGACCATGTATCAGATTGTTATTTCTGCCAAACTTCTATCAAAGGTATTAATCACAAATCTAGACACACCGTGAACTATCCGAATTTACAATCTGCTCAAAGATACACTTCTTACATTCTCATTTGGATTTTTTTCCTCAAAATTTGGGAACCGTTAGTGATAAACACGGCGAGCGATTCCATCAGGATATATCCAACATGGAAAAACGGTACCAAGGCAAGTGGAGTCCGAACATGTTGGCTGATTACTGTTGGACACTCAAAAGATATGTACCTGACGCTAAATATTCCCGAAAATCCTGAATAAAAGTCAAATGTTAGTTGTTTTTCTTGATTAAATTCAATTTTCAACCATATTTACTTAAAAAAAAAGTGTATTGCAGTTGCGAGAAAACTGAGGGTGACTGAAACTTTTTCAAAATGCAGATTTAACAGGCTAATTGTAGATACAAAATATCCCATTCAAATTAATTTAACTTTCATTAAGGTCATTTTCAATCAGTGATAATTAAATAAATGATTTTCAAAGTCAGTTACATTCATTCAAACAAATAAATAGATTAGAGAGACGCCAATGCCAGTAGTAAATACTATTTAATATTATTTAATTATCATAGAATTCTAAAATTATATAAGAGGAATCATTATATACCAACTTAAAATACGATATTTTTATTAATTACTTTTAAAGATTAATCGAATCATGATGCAAAAGTTTTCAAAGCTTTAATACCTTCGTGTCTGACTTCGCACTTTTGCATCCGACTATTCCATCTGGCACCACTGTTACTAAGTTTCTTTTATTTTAGTACAAGGTAGGCACTTCTAGTTAAATACACCATAATTAAAACGTTCCCCACAGAACCTTAACGCTGTTGATATCAAAAAAGAACTATCTAATAACATTATAATCACTTTTGTCTGAACAGCGCACTCCTTGGTGTAGCACTTCTAGTAACTACATCGTATAGTCTCAGTGACGATGTTATTGACACCACTGACACCACTACGGATACCACCACACCACCAGATACTGTAGCGCCGGCAGAGAATCTCACAGCTGTGCAACTGCAACCGCTCTTGAAGCTCAGCTGGCCTTTAGAAGGTAAATAAACACCCTTGGTCGTGGTCATCACGTATTATCTCGCCATCTCTCCCTGTCACTCGATATCTGTAAGCACTCGTGTAGAGGCATGCCTGCCATGGACTTTATTTGGTTTGTCCATCGCATCGATGATCGCCCAAGCGGTCTGGTCCCTTCTACCCTACCTTAGACTACGTTCTGTGGAATCATTGTTATGTCTTGAGATGATAAACTAAAACTCAGTTGCGAGTTTATGCGAGGTAAAAATTAAATATTTCGATTAAAATTATTTTATCAAAAAAAATTTAAAAGATTTAGAATATCTTTACAAAGAAATACACGCTTGCCCATGTACCGCTCTTCGCAGTCTGCATTTAGCAGTGTTTCAATGTAGGTTAAAGTAAACCTGTTAAAGTAATTCATAGTAAAGTTATTCATATTTCAGGTAGTCCACCACCGAAATGGCCGTTTGAACCACCGTCTCCAGACGCCATTAGCTCAGCGGTGAAGCATGGCGAGGCTGCATTAAAAAAACGCCAAGAATTGGAGAGACTAAGAACACCCTTGTCTATAGACACACCAGCTATAAAAGCTCAAAGAGCTGCAGCTACGTCAGCATCTGTGAAACCAATGGCCGACACTGCTTATGCTGTTGAAGAAGCCACAAAAGCACTGTTTAATGGGTAAGTTTCTGTCAGCCTATTAGCTAATTAGCAATTACATTAATATTATTGGTATCGTTACTTTGTAATAATCATTTCATTTAATTAAAATATATAATTATACTTGATTGTATACCTATATATCTCTCTGGTAAAGAAACTGGTCCACTAAACTAATCAGATGAAACTAATTGGCAAAGAAATCTTAGTATATTAGAATGATCTAATTTCCTTATTGTGGTTGCGGTTGCCAACCGGTATTTCTCAGTTGATCTACGTTGTCGTTGATTAAATCAATTGACTGACCAGCCTGTAGTAATTGTGTGCTACTATATCAATGACGTACTAAACTACAAACATTATAACAAAATAAAACAATAGTAAAGTATGAATGTATTGCCGTAGGTGAAAAAAATTTCATGTTTGGATCAGTGTTTCCGAAGATCCCCTGCAAAAAAAACAAAGTAAGAAACTTTACAAAATATGATCCTTGAAACTTAATTCATAAAGCTTTTTTTACTTGTTTTTCTTTTATTAATATTTAGTGACTTAGCGATGTTATTAAAAAAATTTAATTATAAAGAATGTAATAGTTATTTATATAAGTATAGAGATGCATGTTTTTGTTTTATTTGCGTTTACAGTATGTACAACGTTAAGGGTCGCAACCTTGATAGCTGTAAAACATACTTATAATTTGTATTTTCATCTGGTCACCTGTTTTGTACATCTTAATAAATAAATAAATTTGCTTTGGACTTCATGATTTGCTTTTTTTCGCTGATCAACTCTTTTTCCCTCCTTTCTTATATAACACTAGCTGTATTCCCGCATCTCCGCACACGTAAATAATAGCCTATTTCAACCCCGTATGATGTAGCTACCCGTAGGTGATTTTTTTAAAATTCGGTCTAACAGTTTCGGATACAATGCAAATACTTATTAAATGCAAACAAAAAACAAACAAAGAATCGAATCCTTTTTTCTTAAATATTTATAATACTAGCTTTTGCCCGCGACTTCGTCCGCGTGGTAAAGTTACTTTAAGCAGCATTTCTAACAAAAAAAAAATGGAATAGGCACTCGTCTTTTTTCTTTTTGTCGTATCTCTCAATAGTTTCTACTGGCTCAGCTCCAACATATGTGGACAACAGTATGACCTGTTTATTATCTTTCCAGCTCACAGCAGTGACTGGGGTTCCCTCATAGGTAGACACATTCTCCACGTAATGTCCCCTCGGTATGTCGTTTTTCATAATTTCCGTTTTATGTGGTAGTTTACAATTTTTGCCCGGTCTATTTCGTTGGACAGTGCCGAGGCAGTAAATACCTTGCTGAGCGAAATAATGCATAAGAAGTAAGTTGGTATAAAAATTATCGAAGTAGATAATATGATTGCGATTTCTCGGCACTCCTCGTGTAAGTCTCACCACAGTATCAGAAACTGCACCAAGTTCAGGCTCAGTTGGAAGACGATCATGGATTATTTTTCCTGAATATATTTCAAACTGATAAGCAAATCCTTGTAAGCAACATAAAACAAATAATTTGAAGCCCCATTTATGAGGTTTGTTCGGCAAATATTGTTTCAAAAAGTGGCCCATCTTAGTAGCACACATCTGTTCATCTAGTGATAATCTTTGTTCGAAAGGCAAAGAACCAAATTTTTCATTTAGGTGATCGATAACGGGTCTTAATTTATGCAATCTATCGTGGTTGGGGTGGCCTGTGGGCAAATGCTTATCATTATCATTAAAATGCAGGAAACTCCTTATCTTCTCAAATCTGTTTAGTGGCATTGTTTCTGCTATAGGGGTGAAAGAATGTTTCGTATTCCATTATGAACGTATACTTGGGTATCGAAAGACAGACATATATGTGAGAATCCCAAAATATTGTCGCAATTCGGTAATAGTAATAATCTCTGGCCGAGATGGATTTTTTTGAACACTATATTGATTGCTTTCTTGTACTATACTTTCCAAAAATTCTGTGTTAAAAAAGTAGGAGAAAAACTGGAATGGTGTTTCTAAATTAGCAATGTCAGATGAAAAAGGATTATTGTCTTCAAATTTAATTTTATTCTCGTCAAATTGAAATTTTTGGGTTTTCCATATAATTTGTCGGACGTTACGACTTGTAGCAGTCGTAGCTGGAGTACTTGCAGAAGGAGTTGGGCCGGGTCCATCATCGTATACTTTAGGGGGATCTGAGCTATCCTCATTACCTGTATCCTCATGTATTGACGAACCTTCCTCTAATACATGTTGGAGCTGTTCTCTCGTAGGATAGAAGTCCATCAAATCATCTCCTTCCGACTCATAATCATCGTCGGATATATCCCCCGCTTCCAACCTCCGAAGTATATCTTCTATCCCATTGTCTTTGCAGTTTTTAGGCGACATCGCTGTAAAAAACATATAAAAACATGCAACCACCACCAAATTGCCGCACAAAACAATATAAGAATATTTATGCCGTTAGTGCATAATGTATCATTTTTGAAACGATACATTTTTAGGGAAAAAACATGTTGAATCAAAGATATTAGTAAAAAGTAAACACATAAACAGAAAATATGATTACTTACCGATACAAACTGAAAGTTCTTAGAAAATCAAAAACTGATTACATTAGCCAGTTATTAGTTTTATTATATCTTTTCAAAATATTGTCCATTCACGTCAATACACCGCTGCATGCGATGGAACCACTGGGAAAAGCACTTTGCCCACTCGTCCTTAGGGGTCTCTTCAATGGCATCGCGATACGCAGCCACCGCTTCTTCAGCATTCATAAACCGCTTTCCTTTAAGTTTTTCTTTAATTTTTGGAAATAAATAAAAATCACAAGGCGCGAGGTCGGGGCTATACGGCGGGTGACCCAGTAATTCAACGTTTGATGTCGCCAAATAGTCGATCGTTCGCTTGGCGGTGTGCGACGAGGCGTTGTCGTGGTGAAGGAGGATCCTACTGCGAGGTCGTTTCTCTCGAACTTTTTCCAAGACAAGTGGCAAACAATTGGTAGTGTACCATTCTGCAGAAACTGTTTTTTGATCCTCTAACACAATTGTTGCAAAATGACCTATCCTTCCAAAGAACGAGGCCACCATTTTTTTTCCCGCACTTCGATCTCTCTTCACTTTAGTTGGCAACTCCTCGAAAGGAAACACCCACTGAGCAGATTGTCTTTTGGTTTTAGGATCATAACAGTAAATCCAGCTTTCGTCACCTGTTAGTATGTCGAACACAGCATTTGAGTCACCTCCGTTAAATCTTTCAATCATTTTACGACACCAATCCACACGATGGAGTTTTTGAGCCTCAGTCAAATTATGAGGTATCCACCGGGCGCAAAGCTTCCTGACCGCTAAATGTTCGTGGAGGATTTTGTGCACTTGACTCATACCGATGCCTAAGCTTGTCCGAATCTGTTGATAGGTCACTCTTTTGTCAGTCTCTATCATACGCCGCACAACACAGATGTTATCTTCAGTCGTCGCCGTAGAAGGCCGTCCCTCACGTAAATCATCAGTGAGATTAGTGCGACCACGTTTAAACTCATTAAACCAGTTGTAAACAGTCGCACGAGATGGGGCTTCATCGTGAAAGGCCAATCGTAGTCTATCATAACTTTCTTGTTGACTTAAATGACATCGAAAGTCATAAAAAATCATTGCACGAAAATTTTCTCGTGTTAAATTCATGATGACGTGACACAGACAATTTTCAATTTGCCGCCAAATCGTAAAACAAATGACAAATGAATGAAATATATACTCAGTAATATTGGCAAAGAGTTATATTTTCAAATTTTAGAATTATTTTTTTATTATATTGTTTATAAGTGGCCAGTTCTAAGAACTTTCAGTTTGACCCTCGTAACGAATATTTATACATTATATATCGTTTAAAATACCTGAAAAAATAGTCTTATCCTCTAAGCTTATGCCCTTAGGGGTGAAATTTATCAAAATCGCCTTTCTTAGGGGATGCTTACGTCATAGAAGCTTTATGCATGCAAAGTCTCAGCCCTTAAAATTGACAAAGTTTCATACAAACTTTCATCCCCTATTTTATCCCCTTGGGGGAGGAATCAATCAAAATCCTTTTTAGAGAATGCCTACGTCATAGTAGGCATTCTCTAAAAATTGATTCTCAGCCCGATCGGTTTAAAATTGACAAAGTTTCATACAAAATTTCATCCCCTATTTTATCGCCTTGGGGATAATTCTATCCCCAATTTCAATCAATCAAAATCCTTTCTTGGCGGATGCCTACGTCATAACATCTACCTGCATGCCAACTTTCAGCCCGATCCGTCCAGTGATTTGGGCTGTGCGTTGATAGATCACTATGCCAGTCAGTCACCTTTGAGTTATATATATGTAGATTATTTTCCCGTGGTAAAAAGTAGCCTATGTCCTTTCTTGGGTATTAAAATATCACCATCCCAATTTTCATGCAAATTGGTTCAGTGGTTTAGGCGTGATTAAGTAACAGACAGACAGAGTTACTTTCGCATTTATAATATTAGTATAGATTAGTCTACATTGTTACCTATTGATTTAGTAATAACAATTGTATGTGCTTTTTATAAGTTCCTTTTTGTCAGCCAAAAGACGTCCTGAAGGTTAAATTTGTGGCGATGCAACCCTTTGAATTATATTTAAATTATAAACCGACTCAAAAAAGAGGTTCTCAGTTTGAACTGTACGTATATGTTTGTGTGCGATTATCTGGCGTTTGGCTTAACCGATTTTGATGCGGTTTTCAGTATTTGTCATATTCAGTTTTAAACTATCGCGCTGCATTATTAAATACTTATAATACAAGGTGTCAGACTAAGGAGAAGATTTTAGATATATTAACCGACAAAAAAAATGGAGGTCCGCACTTTAGGATAGTTTGACGCTTTTTTCAGAAAAGTATTTTGCTATTATTTTAATTTTATGGAAAGCTGTCTTTTACCCCGCAAGTCCGCAATCCGATGACGTCGGCAATCGACCGCATCGGACACCCAATACCGCGCCGGTCTGGCTTCGTCACGCCTCATAGGATATGTTACCAAATTGAAGGAAACACTATCACGATATTATTATCTCATGTAACGGTTCCTTATGTTATATAGTGATTAAATAGATTTGATAAAATTAGATAGGTAGCCAAATGTTTTAATGTAAAATGTTAACTTGAGTAAAGTTGTTAAGCAACTTTCGCAATGGCCGGTCCTAGGATGGGTGACCAAAAATTTATTATGTCGAGCTCCTCCGTGCTCCCACCCACCAATTCGCACTGGGTCATGGCCCATTCTCCCGGTTTTTTTTTCAATCGATTCCATCCATAGGGATCCATAGTATTGGGGACATCAATAGGCTGATGATGATAATTATCTTGATGATATTGTGTACAGAACAATACAGATCGGTACAACAACTTAGATGTAGAATGTTATGTAGGCTTGATCACCTTCTCGTCGTTGCCATGATTCATAAAATATACATACATACCTGTTTATTCTCCATTCGAATCGAGGACCATTAATCCGTGAGTTTTGGGAGTTGGTGCCTAAAGCTCTAAAGACCTATTCTCAAACACGAAATCCTACCATGCACTACGATATCAATATGGCAATTATTGGCAAAGTTTTGTTTTCTTTAGCTTTTGCTTCTCATAAATACAATCTATCATAAATACTTCTCAATAAGTCGTAGATGTAGAGGTATAATGAAATTTAAAACAGATATAGCTGACTGCACTTTATTTTCAGAGAATCCGAAAGAAAAAAAGCGTTCCAAGTAGAGGGTAAAGCCAAATGATATTTTCGATTTGTTGAAACTAATAACCTTTTGTTTGTCAGATCTCTTATTTTAATGGAGTTTAGAATTAGATCCCCAAGATACTTCTAATTGCAGCTAATAAGTGCTGTTTCTCTATAGTTTTACATGTGAAATGATTCTTATTCCAGCACAGACAACTCAAAGCAAACTGGAGGAACGTTCCAGGGTCCACCGACGAACGGATCTTTCCTGGAACCTCGTTATTGCCAGACTACACTGCCTCCGTGCCCAAATTCCAAGTACAGAACTCAAGATGGCAGTTGCAATAATCTCGAGCATCCTTACCGCTGGGGAGTTTCCAGGACTCCTTTTAGGAGGGCACTCCCGCCAGATTATGGCGATGGTAAATTGAAAATATATTTTGTAGTCATTTCTTTCTAATCTTATGCTACTGGTACATTCGTTACTTTGCATTACTTCGGTATTTTTAAGGTTATAACGTAGTTTTAGCCATTTTAAGAGTTACGTGGAAGTTAATTTTGACATATCACAGGTGTCAATGGTACTAATTTTGCAATAATGCAACACCATTTAAAAACCGTTCGCATAATGTAAAACGTGTTAGTTTGAACGCCTTGAAGTTCTGAATGACCATAAAGGGAGGGTGACGAAAACCAGGTATTCTTCCCTACTTGGTATAAATTAACGATGCTTTCCGCCTCTATTGTTTAGCGGCTTTTAATTCCTTCCTAAACCACATTACGAAATACGATGCGGTTTACACTGTTATATGAGACATTTCCAAAAGAAGATTAGTTATACCTAAATCACTGATGGTTAAAAAATATTTTTATTTATCGAATATAGATTTAAGGATGACAATATCTGAAATGTCTATCATTTTTATAATAGATATTTGCTTTATGATTTGAAATTTCAATGTTGTTATCCACTTCTGCCTCATAATAATCTAAATGTGATTATCAGGAATCAGTTCACCACGTACCGGTACAAATGGCACGAGCTTGCCGAGCGCTCGTGATGTCAGCGTGACAGTGCACCGTCCAAGCTACCCGCACGACACCTCCTTCACCGTCATGTTAGCCGTATGGGGACAATTCATTGACCATGACATCACCGCCACGGCTTTAAGTAAAGGTCAGTTTACAGCTGCAATAACCTCAGATCACCACAGCACCAATATAAGGGCATTATATGGGCCTTGTGGAAGGTGTCATAATGGTCATGTGAGCCGGCTTATATGACTGACACACATTATCATGTCATCTTCTATGATTTGATGATGGTGTGATATATATGGCTCTAGAGCTAAAGAATAGCTTTAGAGTTTTACCAATTCTCTATGTGATAGATGCAACTAAACCTGCTCAGCTATGTGTGCCTGCACGTACATACTTAACACGTATCTTACAAAAGAAATTATTGAAAGTATGATAAATTGGTGACATAGTTTCTCGTACAAGTAGTTGAAGACAACGATTTTAAATTCTTCTAATATTTTAGGTGAAAACAGCAGCGCGCTATCATGCTGCGATCCAACCTTGCCTCCGCACCCCGAATGCTTTCCCGTACAATTGGACACCGAAGATCCATTCTATCAGGAGTACAATCTTACTTGTATGGAATTTGTGCGATCTGCACCTTGCCCGACGTGTTATTTTGGTAAGTAGACCGCGTATATGATAACACAATGTAATTTTGCTCGAATTTCTAACAATGCTAACATTAATATTATGTACAAATGACATGGGGATCTGCAAAGCTTTTTTAATTTGTAAGCAGGTAACAATATAACTGAACAACGCTATAAAAACTCAATTTTTCCATTACCTTCCTTAAATTCAACAACAAAGTTACCTTATTAGTAAGTAACATTACATCAAATGAATATTTCAATGTTTCTACGTATTCAAACACTAGATTATTTCAAAAAGTGATAATCACTTGTCTCTTAATTTATATAATACTAGAATAAATTGTTTGAATATCTATTACTTGCTATTGGAATCACCTTTGTCAATTAAATACACAAATAATATTGCTCATGGGATGGCGTTGTACGCCGACATACAGACTTAGATCTAGTTCGGCAACATATGCTACATTTGACTTTGTTGTATCAATAAATATGTAAAATGGTGTAAGAAACATGTAAATTCTGTTAAATAAATATAATTATTATAACAATTTACTCTTATTTTCTTTTGATTGATTTTCTAGGTCCTCGGGAGCAAATGAACCAGGCCACTGCGTTTATTGACGGCTCCACTGTATACGGATATACAGAAGAACGAGCGACGAGCCTCCGTCAGCTATCGACTGGTCGTCTACGAATGTTGCGGGATGGACTGCGTGAGCTGCTGCCACCCGCAGAGGACCCCGCTGACCCCTGCAACACCGTGGAAATGAATGCTCAAGGACGATACTGCTTCGAGACGGGTCGGTGATAATACAAAATAAGGTCGTCAGTACTCTAGAATACTCTAGAGTCTAGATCCTAAGTCTTTAAATATGAAACTTACCTATTACTATTCGAGGCGAGAAGTGAGAAATTATAAGTTTCAAGGTAGGAAAGTGTGGTAACGTGGACGTAACAGTCAAAGAAAGCCCAGAAAATGGTAGGATTCCCACATTTATTATTATAATATTTATTAAAATTTTCCAAGTGCCACAAATAGTACAGTTACTTCATACTATTACAAAACAGATAGATTTGTAATCTTCGGTTGCATCTATATTAGAGCTTTGATTATTATTTTGATGAGGACGAAAAATAAAAATACTGATGTGCTTGATTTTTCTTACTTTGATTACGGACAAGATAGCCGTGATTTTTAATTACACGCAATCTACATCATATTGATAGTCTATTCATTTTTTCGCAATCTTTTTAGGAATTTATTCAACGACGAAAACGTCCTGTAATTGGTCGTCGTCACAACCAATCACGATTCTGTTTACTGGCCTGTGGCGTCATCAGCTGTCATGTCAAAGTAGTGTTAAAAGATTAATTAGATAATATACATAAAATATCGATGCCTGTAGGTATCGAGTACTTTATAGTAATTTACTGATAACAGAATACTTTGCCGCTTCTACTGATAAGAACTGCCAAAAAGAAATAAAGAAAGAAAGAATCATTTACTAAGCTTTTTAAAAAATCCAAGAAATAGAGAAAACGCCAGCAATTTAAAAAAGAGTAACTTGCAAGTTTTTCTCATTTTTTTTACTCTAATATAATAATTCAAAATTACAAAGTCGATTTTGATGATATATACTGTTCTCCAAGTTAAAAACTAATTTTAAAAAATCATCATGATCTGATATCTAATTATCAAATGCCAAGCATTTAGTGGACAGACATTCTACATGCATGTATAAAAAAAATAGAACATTCTTTATCGTACTAATGTCTCATCCATCTGTAGGTCGACAGGCTGTAAAGTGCGAGCCCTGTCAACAAATATAAATGAGTCGTAAAATGTTTATGATACAAAGAAAAAAACCAAAAAGAAAACCTTCAAATGTATCGATATGAAATAAAAAAGTTTCAATACTTTAAGCGAATCCTTACCTAATTTTATCACCCATCTCTACTCTATATAGCTACTATACTATTGTGATTGTGAATCTATTTTCTTCTAGACTCGAAGTTTGTTTGTTATATATAGAAGTATTAGTACATTGTGGCACTACGCACCACTTGTAGCTCATTTTTTAAAGAAAACCAGAGCAGAGGAAAATAAAAAACGTAAAAAATACGACTACTCTTCAATTTCTCTTCTAAATTATATTTCAATTTACTCTAAAGACAGTTGTTACTTATCGATTTGACATATTTACTGGCTCTGTGACGTCACGATCAGCGCCATTACATAGAGCAGTGTTTTTCGCGCGCTTTTGGCTATTTAAATTTTAACAATTATTTTCACCAAAAATAGAAAAGATACCAATAAAAATATTATGACAGTGTGTTTATAATGTAGCAAACAACGATTTAAAATAGTTTTCATTTCAAATTATCTACGAATATTAAATTATACGTACTGTGTTATTTAGGTGACGACCGCGCCAATGAAAACCTACATTTAACAACGATGCACCTGATCTGGGCACGTCAACACAACAGGATTGCAGGCGAGCTTCAGATGCTGAACCCCATGTGGAATGACGAGATCCTCTACCAGGAATCCAGAAGGATAGTCGGTGCACAGATGCAACATATCACCTATAACGAGTTCTTACCTGCAATACTGGGTAAATAGTAAATTGCAACAAACTAAGACCAATTCGGGTATTTATTATGGTCTTTTACGGCTTCAAATAATCAGTGTTGTTCAAATTTAAGAAAACTTTCATAACTTTACAATAAAATCTGCTCATGACAAACGTTAAGTGCGAGACAATATTCAAGATGCATACATAGTTTGTGAATTCATCAAATTCACCGAATTAAAGTGCGATAAAAAAGGAGAAAGAAGTTCAATAGGTTCAAATTCAAAATTGAATCTTTTTTTTCAACTAAAATCTGAAACCAAAAAGAAAGTAGTAATTGAATAGTGTTGCTTTTAAATCATCATCATCATCAGCCCTTTTTACGTCCCCAGTGCAGGGGCTCAGGCCTTCCTCATGGATGTTTAAGGAGGATGGGCCATGACCCTCCACGCTAGCCCAATGCGGATTGGAGGGTATTAAAGACTGCAAATGCAGCCGGGACCAATGACTTAACGTGACTTCCGAAGCACGAAGTAGCTCGCGATACAAATTTTTGGTCACCCATCCCGTGACCAACCCTTGCGAAAGTTGCTTAACAACAAAGATCGCGGGCCGCGGCGCTAATTCTCTACGCCACCGAGCTACTAACATTAACATTACTTTTTAACATACGGCATCCTTATCATCAGCGGAGTAATATTCTCACTGCTGGTGCACAGGCATTTCCAATGGATGTGGATACCTTTGACTAAATTTCTTAGAAGAGCTTTAATTAGTTACAATATTTACGTTTACAGGTAACGATGTTATGTACGCACTTAATCTGACGTTACTGCCAGACGGACACTCAAATGTATACGACCCATCCGTGGATCCCACCGTGGCCAACCACTTCTCAGCGGCTGCCTTCAGATTTGCACACACACTTTTACCGGTTTGTAATTATCGCTCAAGTAACATAAAACTAAATAAATGTAATTTATTCAGTCTAGAATGACTAGAGTACCTTAATTTGCAGTGGAAGACCTCGTACTTAGAAGTAAAAAGAGCCTCAACCAAGGCTATTTTTTCTCCGTTTTAAATTATGCTAAGAAGTTGCAGGTGCTTTTCTTATAATTGGTCAAGGAGGATGGGCCATCATCCTCCACGTTAGCACAATGCTGATTGCTGGGTATTAACAACTGCATTATGTAGCCGGGACCAACTTAAAGTGCCTTTCGAATAACAGAGTAACTCGTGATAATATTTTTTTGGCCATCCATCCCGTGACCGATCCTTACGAAAGTTGCCTAACAACAACGATCGCGGGCCGCGGAGTTTATCCACTACACTACCGAGCTAATGGAACTTAATTAGACTGTAAAGTCATTGTCCAATAACATAATAATAAGGGAATATGCATATTTTTGGAAAATGTTTTTATATGATTATTTACATCGATATATAACTGCAAAAAAATACCCGGCACCGTAAAACTAAAATTTTGTAACATTAATCATTGATGAAAATTAGTAACAGCTACGAGCAGTTTAAACACCGGAATACTTGGCGTGCTTGTCGTGACGTCAAAGTACACGACTAGAGATATGACATTTAAAATCAATATGGATTTTGAGTGATAGATTATTGTTCAATTACCCAAATCGATTAACAACTAATCGATTTTTTTAAGTATAATAGATTTTTTTAATAAATCATATAGTTTACCAAATTTATGAAATAAAAATAAAAGCCTAAAACATCATTCAAATTGTAATCTGTTGTTTATTTTGCGACATCATTGCATCGATGTTAACTTTTTGTAACAACGACATCCCTATACGTGTACATTTACATACGTCACGTCCGCTCTGACAAGTAGCATGGCGTTTGAATATTTTGAAGTTACCGCATTTTTAATAATTATATTTAAAACGAAAACGAATTTATGTTAAAAAATATTAACTTATACTTTATTCTAAAGCAATAATGATCGTAATAAAATATATTTAACCCTTTTTTGAATCAGACGCATATTCCTTATTGGTATGATGTACCATTATACTTGTTCATGAATTATAGTATGCATAATGAAAGAAGATGGACATAAAATATAGTCCGGAGTCAATAGTCTCCATAAACAGAGCGGTTTCAATAAAAACAAAGACTAATAGACTCTTTTTTAAACTAAAACATTCATCAATAGGGTTTGATCCACAACGTAGACGCGAGTACGGGCAACATCAACTACGTGCAATTACACGAGATGCTGTTCAACCCTTATACTCTATACAGCAAAAGAGGAGCCAAGGCCGCCGTCTCATCGGCTATGATCACGCCCGTGCACAATGTCGACCCTCATGTTACCACCGAGGTAGCTGTCTCTTTAGCTGTCCAACTGTTTCACCTTAAAATAAAGGATAATACGCAAAACCAGGCCTTCAATGATCAGACTATTTTAACAACTTATAACACCTAAAACCATTCTTTTCCAGCTAAGCAACCATCTATTCGAGCGACCAGTGGCCATCAACAACACTAACAGTACTCTCCCGCATAAAGCCGGACCCTGCGGCCTCGACCTCGTGTCCCTCAATATCCAGCGCGGCAGGGACCATGGCCTGCCCGCGTACCCCGCCTGGAGGGAACACTGCGGCCTCTCCCGACCACATACATTTGAGGACCTCTCCGATATGTTTGACGAACAGTCGCTCAGTCGCATTTATAAAATTTATAAGTAAGTTTAACTTATTCTACTATATGGTACATTCACTTTTAATTATTATCTATTTAATTTCATACATAACATATCTCGGTTTATTGATATTTATTTTAAAGTTAAACTAGCTCTCCGCCAGCGAATTCGTCCGAGCCGCGAAGAACGTCATTGTTTTATATTATGTAGAGATATGTTACGCTCAAAATCGAAATCACTCATTGATAATCACATAGCATAATCCGTGCCGTGGTTGTCATGCTATTCGGCCACAACGCGTTATGACAATAAAAAAAAACATGGAACGTATTGAACCATATTTGGCCGAGCGAGCAGAGCGAGAGTGCCGCGGCAGCGGCCGGCGAAGTACCAGAAGCGAATCGCTATAGTAATATGAAAAAGCTAATTAAACCAATTAATTCTCAAAACGCGTCGTGGCTTTTCTTCATTGCCACAACGTGTTGATGTCAAATAACATGTCAGCCATGACATGGATTTGGCTATGTGGTTATTCTGCAATTGCCACAACGCGTTGTAAACTATTTTTTCGTTCAGTGAGCGATTTCGATCTCAAAGCGTAACAGATACATTAAATCCAACAACAGTTTCAGTGCGACTGAATATGCTGCTCTAACTAACTGATCTAAAGTTCTAATGTCTCGGAAAGTTCAATAGTTCAAAAAAAATGATACGGATTACAATCCCAGTCTATTGAGATAGTTACAAAATAGATAATTTTAACTTGACTAAATAGTTTCATAATCGCATTACCCTTACAGAAATGTAGATGACATAGACCTATACACCGGTGCTTTAGCAGAGGACCCCAAAGGTCGCCTGCTGGGACCAACGCTCAGTTGCCTCGTCTCCGATCAATTCCTGCGTCTCAAAGTTGGTGATCGTTTCTGGTACGAGACGGCTGATGAAACTGTGGGCTTTTCAATCAGTGAGTATAAGTGAATCATTTTTCTCCACATTCAAAAATGTCTTGAATGGAATAATAAATTTTAATAAATATAATATCACTTTGACTTACACTAAATGTAGGGCAGCATATAGTTAAATAAGCGTAGAAGCTGCAAGAAATTGTTTAAAAGAAGAGTCTGAAAAACATTTAATTGTCTTTTATTTCAGCCCAACTGGTAGAAATAAGGAAAACAACATTAGCTGGCGTGATCTGTGCTAACGAGGATCTCTTAGACCAGGCTCAGCCGCGGGTGATGGAGGGTGTTGGGCCGACCAACCCACTCGTAGACTGTAAGGAACTGCCGCAACCAGATTTTACACCTTGGAAAAAGAGCAAGTCTAAAAACAAGAAAGTGAAGTCCTAAACATCAATTAACATTATGACTACCTAAGTGCAATGCTACGCGCGTAATGGTGGCTGTTTGTCACCGTAATTTATTGTTTCTGTTATCGATTAGCTGTCATTGGTATGGAATTCACTAAATCGTCATGTGGTCAAGTGCACGCGCTATCGCAAGTATTCTGAAGCATGGTGACAAGAGACAGAAGGACACGGTGACTATAAGTCCCCAGTGTACGCGTAACCATACCGTCGCATATTTAGGTGCACTTCTGCCGCAAGTATTCTCAAGCAGGAGACAAAAGTCTCTGTGACAAAGTATCACTAGAACGTGCGTAATTTTAATTCGTAAAACATACAATTACAAAAAGAAGAGATATAGAAAAACAACAAGATCATAACACTGATATTTCAGTCGTCATGATATATTGTCTCGTGATATTTTCATTTTGAATGTAATACTTTTTCTAATGGGCAAAACATTAATATTGTAATTTATCATATTTGTATTATCGCTGATAAGAACACTCAATACAAATAATATAAAAGGAAATATCGAATATTTTCATTATTTAAAATCATTTGCTTTATTACAATGCCTTACTCAATTTATATATTACAAATATCACAAATATTGTTCCATGTAAATTGATTTTAAAGAAGAAATTGTAAATAATAAATATTGTCGATTTAAGGCTGATCTTGGGACCGATTACTATTTTCTACTGTAATTTTTGCTTAGGATGTGTGAAAATTAATATAATAATTGCAAATAGGAGATACGCATACTGCTCATATTACCTACTTAGTTTAACTTAGTTTTATTTATTGTTTTTATTTTAATTATTAAATGGCTAATATATTAATCATTACAAGTGTTTTTTTTTTATAAAAGTTGATTTTGAATACAAAGGACAAAAAATTGCAACGGAAATTATTTCTTTATCTATTGAAACGTTTTCTTAAATTCTACTAAAATATTACAATTATTGTTAAAATATCAGAAAAAAATCACTCCATGCAAATTGCATCCGAAATATTGGGGTGGTTTAATAATAGTAGTTTATGCAACTGTCATATAAGAAGGGGTATTAAAACACGAAAGTCTGTTTACTCGAGTAATAAGTTGACTCGAGTGTTTTATGCAGTTTCATACACTACTTTATTTACACTCATAGGAAAAATTGAAACTAAACAAAGTAGGCAGGTTACAAGGAAGTAATTTTTTGGAATCCTAAATACAAAAACACGATCGGCAAAAAAATGCATGGAAAGCGCGGGAAATTAAGTTCAAACTACGCATGCGTGCGCCTTTTTTTCATATTCAGCCTAAAACCTTAAACTAGTTTAATGAATAAAAAAAGATAGCGATAATGAGTTTTATGATACAGTTGGCGGTACTATAATGAGTTTAATTTTTAATTTTACGTTTATGCGTTTATAAAGTGCGTATGTATAGAATCATCTTTGAATTCGTAATGCGAATTTTTCGATTTGAGTGTAGATAAAAAATATTTCGTTTTCCATTAATTTTATCTCCATACAAGTACAGGTGTTAGATGCACCAGCACCTCTGATTACGATCGATTCAAAGTCAAAATAATCTTTATTCGAATAGACTTCTTAAAAGTACTTTTGAATCGTCCAACATTTTTTCCAAATCCAACACTTTTAGCTGATAAGAAGAACAAGCAAGAAACTCACCAGCTCTAAAAGGAGTAATGACATTCACAAAAACCATGTCATAAATAAGTTCGATATTTTATGTAAGTGGGTACTTAGGTATTTTTTCATAGGACAGGTTGAATGGAAAATTTATTAAATGTGCTATTTGTCACTTTGTCACCTGTTTTTCGTCCAAAGCATATATTTGATACAGTTCTATGGAGCCGCCTAGACGCTTCTGAGTCACAGATGCATTAGCATTTTCATTTAGGCATCTGTAGGAGGGCGATGGCCTTGTTCTTTCAATACAAAAGAGACTACGAAACGTCTCTATGTTTTTTACAAGAATCAAACCATTATAAACCTTGCACCCACCGTAGAAGGTCTCCATGAGATCATTTTGACGGTAACCATTATCTTTGCTCTACGAATTAAGGCTGATGTCAGGATCTAAGGATAAGGCGGGTCCTGCCACAAAGATATTTCATAATGTTTCCGTGTTTTTGTGTTTAATAAGCAGCAAAAATATATATTTTTAAAGATTTTTTTTCATCGCGTTGGCTTAGATTTTCTGACAACTCCAACATCCAAGAGATTAAAGATCTGAGTATTTAATATCAATCTTATGGTAATTGCTAAAAATTCACTAGCCCCAGGGTGTGGAACCTGCGACTGATGATTTATTAAGCATTTAATAAATGACAGATAAAAGCGTTATGAATAATGATGTGAATTAGGATGGTATATTCAATGCAAACAAATAATTGAATAAAAAATGAAAACAAACTCACTTCCAGCTGTAATCTTTTAAACTATACAGCGTATTATAATGGTATTCAACAACAGCTAGAGTGATTCAAGAGGATGATTGATATATAAAATACAGGGCATATAAGATTTCATAATTGTTGCTGTTCCATAAATATAAAGATATTAAAAATTCTTGTGCTGTCCAATAGCAAAACAAAACAAAGCTCGACCAGAGCACAGATACACCAAAGACAAGAAAGGACAAAAATGTATGGGTGTAGCATGGAGCTATAAAAACTTATTCTGTAGGTGGAAATGTGAACTATGTTATATAGCTAAATATATACTTGCTGTAAAGCTAGTAGTTTAATATAGTCTAATTAAGCTAAGCTTTAATTAATGTCTAATTCGTAAGGGGTAATGACATTTGTGCAACTGGCGATAAGTGTAATGTATAGGGAATAAAAATTGGTGTATTTGGACTATATTGACATTTTCGTGTAAATAATTAATAAAGTAATGTCTTGTCCACACTTGGTAACTGTGCCCCCGACGAAAGTGGACACTACGTAGAATTTAAAAATATTAACAAAACTAAAGCAAGACTTCAAGTAAGCTTAAAAAGCGAAAAGTAACATTTTTATCTCATTGACAATCTTATGTGAGACAATTAGGTAAGTTAATAAATCTACATTAAAACTGACTGAACTTCCGCGTTTGGGTCTGCTTTCTAAACCTAAAACAAGACTTGCCTATACACTTAAATTAGTGGTTCCTAGGCCAGGTAATTACATCAGTGGAAGTAAATCAGTTATTCTGTAGGGGGTGGCAAAGAATTTATAAATGAAGGCCAAATTAAAAATAACAATAAAACTCTTTCAATTTGGAATATAACACGTGTTTTATGTAACAATAAAAAGACAATTTAATTGGAGCAAATAGAGATATCTTTCAAGACCTGACCTACAGTAAGACGTTGCACAAATATATTTTTTTAATAGATCAAACGGTAACAGTCTTGAAAATAAGAACCACTGGCTTAGACCAAACCTGTAATAATATACCTATAAATATTCACGTGTGCGTTACGCAGTAGGTATAATATGTTCTTTCATATGTACGCAACTGACACGAAGATTGAGCGTATGTGTTTATGTCAACAAATGTATAGCTTTCCAGAATGTTCGATAGCACTGCATTGTTTAAAATCTGTAATTATATTTAAATCATATGACAATAATTACTTATATACTTGGCCATTAAATTTTCAACCTTATTGCCAGGATGACTTGTCACATTATTTACCATAGGTCATTGATATGTAAGTCTATAGGTACACAAACAGTTAACGATATAAATTCGATGATGCATTTGGCTCACAGATGTTTGGCTAGCAATGCTAACAGGCCTTTATTAAAATGTGCCAAGCCTTTTTATCTAAGTTACACTCTATTGGATGCAATCCACATTTTTTATTTCTGTAGTATAATCTATCAGATCAATATAGGTATCCACATAACATTCACTGCAATCACATTCTCCTACCCTCTATCAATATCAACAGGTGCTTATAACTAAAAGCTTTCAATCTATTTGGGAAATTTTAAATCTTGTTGCACCCTGACGGATCAACAATATAATAAGTATACGAAATAAAAGTTGCGTAACTTTTTTGATAATATTCTCGATTTTAAAGATCATAGGTTCAGTGGAGACCACGAACCGGAAGACGCAGCGTGGATCGACCCCCGACTAGATGGACGGACGACATCGTCCGAGTCGCGGGCGGCCACTGGATGCAGCTGGCGCAATGTCGTCCGTCGAGGCGTTCAAAGGGGGAGGCCTATGTTCAGCAGTGGACGTCTTCCGACTGATGATGATGATGATGATGATGAACTAATATTTATCAAATTTTCAGTAACAATTAAATAGATGAAAATCGACAATAAAATATATATTTCATTCAAAATGACTGCTCTTGTTTTTAATACAGGCCCTTAGACGATTTGGCCAGTCATGGCGGCACGAATCTTTTCTAGCGAAATTCGCTTTGCTTCTCGAACAAGAGTTCGCTTCAGTGACTCCAAGTTTGGGTGGCACTTTCGGCAGGCCCTGAGCTCTAATTCAATCCATAAAGAATAATCCAGTGGGTTGAGGTCGAGGCTAGAGGAGGGCCAATCGTCTGCCGTGTATCTTCCTGGGATCATGTCTCCTCAGCAGCAATGGACAACGTTCGCGTCATAAATTACGAAGACGATCGTTTAAAAAGTGAACTTTTATACGGCTATAGGCTTTTACTTTAAGATCTTGTTTCAGTATTCTGTTCACTGAAACGCGCGAAATATTAGTCTGCATAGCGAGTTTCTCTGAGCGCGACATGGATTTCGGCGAAATCCGCTGTATAGAGGATTGTGTAATAGAGGAAGTTACGGCTTACAGGAAAACTTTTCAGCTCGCGAAAAATCTGCATCGGCTTTTTTTCCGCCTTAAATAGCGTAATGACAGTGGCACGTGATTGTTTCGTTCCCTCCATCATGAGAAAATATAAACAAATGAATTTGCGATACAAATAAACCAAAAGTTGATATTCCAAATTCAAAATCGGTAAAAAAAGTTTGTCTTTAAACGAGGTAGGTACTTATTGAATATATCAAAACTAATTTCATAACAGGTTATCCAAACCAAAATATTTAAGATTGTAAGTTTTGGAAAATTGCCTCTTTCAACGAAACGACGCTAACACAGATATAGATAGTGGTAAATACCCACGCCATGCGGCAATACTGCTGGTATTAAGCAGAGTGGGTTTATTTTAAAATTCAAGTCAACTTGTCAACGCCTTCATTATTTAATAGTGTTTTTCTTTTATAGATATTTAACTATAACTATGGACTATTTGAAACTTAAATATTATAAATATAATATCTAAGATGTTCTTACAGAATGCAAATGCATTCATGATGCTCCTATGTTGTGTAAGGAAAATTAGTGAATTTTTTAAGCATTTTTCTTTAAGATGCTTGTTGATTCTTACGGTTAAATATTTATTGAGCTTTACTTTGATACCTATTTAATTTAGTATGTATTATTCAACCAAATCCATCAGTCCAAATATTTCATTTAAATATAAATATAATCTAGTGGTTATAAGATACTGAACATTCCTACTCCTATGTACTCTAATAACACAAACTATACGCACAATGGTAAAAATAATGTTTTTCTTTATCATATTTCTAGAATATCATTACATAGCATAAAATAAAGTCCCTTTCTCTGTCCCTTCATTTCTATGTATGCTTTAATCTTTAAAACTACGCAACGGATTTTGATGCAGTTTTTTTTATAGATAGGGTGATTCAAAAGGAAGGTTTTTATGTATAATACAAGACCACGCGGGCGAAGCCGCTGGAGGAAAGCTAGTATAATATATAATACTTCGTCTGCAGTGGA